TCCTTCTTAGCTTCCCTCCTAGCTCAACTCACAAATCGCGCATTGTACCAAACAATCCAAGAAGACTGTAAGGAAGGACTCCCCTCTTTCTCGGACCCTCGTTCGTGCAACCGGACACATCCATTGTCCCCCTAGAAGATCAGCCCGTCGCTCAAAACTCGAACAAAAGTTGCTTTCCCCACAACGTTCAGCCCTAAGCTGACAGTGTTCTGGAAGCTATGTGCTTCTTGGGCCAGAAACATGCTCGTCACTCAACGGGTACTTCGAACGGCTTGGTTGTTATGCGCTGACACTATTGACACCACCACAACGCTGACAACGCCACCAAGGGCAAAGCTCATAACCACGCCAGCCTTGCTACGTCACCAATGCGGGGAATCTTTTCCTTCCGTTTTTGTTTGCGCGGGATATCCCATGACGCATCGCGCTCTCCGTTCACTTCTCTTTGAGCGCTTGCTTGAGTGCACCGTTTGGAACAAAAAATATAGCCAGTCGTTTAAAATACAAACGTGTGATTATCATTTACGGTTATTATCTGTCATGCTTGACTCATTTCCGAACGAAATTTGAATATTTCTATTTTTGTACCCCTTTAATATACGATAGATCCTTGCCTGGTTTGTCAAATGGTTGGCGTGCAATATTCGCTGCAGAAGAAGTGATGAAAATGTCTTTAATTTATTATATTGTGAAAAAATTTTATATAGAGCTGAAAAGATTTTTTTTTTTTTTTATTATGAAAATATTAATGTTGTTAAGGGGAGGCATGCAAATTTACAGCTGATGAAAACTGTGCCAAACGAACTTAACTTAAAAAACTTTACATAGAATTACCCCTTCCCTATTTTGAATTAAAAGATTTATAATGTCTTTCTGTACCTCACGCATTATTGTATCTTCAAGCAAATATTCTTTATTTGGAGATGAACAGTGTATTTGTGTATTTTATACGCATTCCCCTGCACCTTGATGTTTGGCTTGGTGGTTGCGAAGTTCTTTTAATCGTCATTTTAACACAATCGTCATGACCAGTAACCTGCCATCTGATCTACACGAACGCAGTTCATTCCATTCTATACTTTTCATTGTTTACGATAATCACAGTCTACATGTCTTAGGTCCCAGCCCAGCATGCACATGTTCATCGCTTTGGAAGGCAAGCAATGTATGTGCCACACGCACGAACGCTGAAAATGGCATCGACCAGAAGCGCTTTTCAGAAATGGTTTACAGATCTTTTGCTAGATTACTTAAGCACCAAGGAGCATATTCATGCCACAAGAATAGTCACACGTGCTGACGCCTGCAACAGTAACTTTTCAAAAGAAAATCTAAAACAAATGGCACGTTCCTTCAGGTCATATGAGCGTGTGGGCATCTGTACCCACATTCCGAGCATTTTCCGCAGTGCTTTGGCAATTCACAAAAATTTTATTGCGTGACTCTTCGACCTTTCTTCACCAGCCATCTTCTAATAAAAAGAGAATGGATTTACCAGCGATATCACGAAACTAGCGAGGCGCGGCTTGAGCGTAGCGAGTTGCAAAAATGGTTTTATGAAATTGTAATTGCTAGTTTTTCTTTTACTTTCTTATAGTTATGCACATAGACCAAGGCCATACTTTGTGCAAATACATATAATTATCAACTCTAAACAGCACGAACGCCCAGATTTTTTTGCTGTTAGACGCGAGAAAGGCGGGCGCGAGTGTACTCGATTGCCGGCCGCACGCCTCGCTGCACAAAGTGACGTGACGCTTGGGCGGCGGGGAAAACTGGGGAAAAACTAGGGAGAATGATGTTTCGGTTAACTAGAGTGAATCTGGGAGAATGACATAGCATTTCGGAATCAGGAAGCCATCCGCATTCAGATTATGCCCTTGGACTAGGTAGCTCGAAAAGTCGGAGTTCTCCTTTAAAGGGGTACTCCGGCATTTTCTCCATTGTCCCCGATTTGCCTAAAACCTTGCTTAACACACCAACGAACATCGCTAAAATAGTAACCCAAATATTTGGCCAAAATAACTTTTTTTCGCGAAGTTACAGAATTTACAATTAGGGTCATCATCGTGTTCTTCAAAGTGAAAAGCTCTACTGGCAACATTGAAATAGTGACATCATGGGAAGGCAGGGGTTCACTCTTTGGGCTGTAGACTTTGTTTTCAACTGACCACAAACAGTTTCATGGCGTTAAAAGAATGTTTTGGAAGGTTGCTCCAGCTCCCGCGCAGCACGAAACAAATGCTCGGCATAGTTCATTTCTAGACAGCCCGCTCGAACCGCAAGCCTGCCATCCCGTGACGCAGGCACGTAGGCAGGGGGGGCCATGGGACCTGGGCCCCACCCCGAAATCTTCCATTTTGCTGGGGCCTCCTCTCCCCCCTTGCCCTCATACAGCACTTTGTCATAAACAAGCCCCCCCCCCCCCCCCCGAAACAAAATCCCGGCTACGTGCCTGCCATGATGTCACGGCAATGAAAAGCGAAAGTATACCGTAAAATACCGTGCGCATCCGCCCATTCCACATTAAGCGCCCATTACCAAATTTGTGAGATCTGAGCAAATATGTACAGTACATTTATATGTAAAATTGATGACCGGACAAGTGCCCATCCCCCATTTTTTTGCGATTATCTCCAAAGTTTGAGTAGGCGCTTTCCCGGTATTTTACGGTATTTGAATTTTGGTATTGGCGTCACTTTCATTTGCCGATTTCATAATAACTATTTTGAGTTTCGTGATAGTAAATAGCATACCGGAAAGAGTAAAAGATGGCGATTTCGAAAATGTGCTTAGGTGGGGTTGCCCAAAAAATCGCTGGATTTTTTAAGCAGGTCTTTTTTCTGCCAACACGACAGTGGTAGGAACATTACCTGTGTCGAGCTAGAGAAGCCATATTGGGGGCTACCCCAGCTACGTCCACACTGGCTTTCATGGCAGTTATGTGTGATGCAGACAGTTTTCACTATTTCAACCGAGTGCCTTGGCAAACACAGAAGCAGCCACATAAGACAATCAGGAAAAGACGCCGAGTTGTACAGGCTAAGGAGGAAGGACATAGTGCAGCGAGCTATCTAGTCCAGGCTATTCCTCTGAGAAATGCAGTCGGTGGAAATGTAGGTCAGTTATTCCCGCCATTAATTTAGGTAACTAATGCAAGCATTACACTATTTTGCATATTTCTCTACTGCAACGCTAGTCATCCGCAGCAGAAACAACGCCCCAAACTAAAAAGAAGTCTCATTGCATTGTTAACACAGACATCAAGTCCATTAGGAAAGGCCAGCTGTGCCATCCACCTGTTCATAAGCGAGCTGGAGTTCATCAAAACACAACCGAGAATCTCTCGGAAGTACTTGGTTCCTTTTCAGTAGTTATTGAATGAAAGCACAGTGCAGTGGTGATTACCATCAGCACAGCCTTGCCACTGGCACTGCTGTCCCTCGAATGGCACATGCACGACATGGCCTGCAAGCCACATATATCCCTAAAAGAAAGCTGCATAGGATGCACTTACCGTGGCTAGCGTCGCCACCCAGCGAGCTTGCACAAACCCTCTGCATGGCACGCAGTGCTGTTCAGAACAGAGCGGCACTGGCTAGCCAGTTAATGCGAAGGCTTGTAGTGTCTTGCCGCTGCCTTGGCAAAGCTGCAAGTCACCTCTTTCACGCCTTGTGGTGCCCATCAGCTTCAAACGAAACGGTGTTGAATCGCGACCAGCTATTACCTGTCGCACAAGGGAGAAAAGGGTGTGAATGTGCAGACTCCTATCTGTTTGCATTTGTCTAGCGTGCGAGTTTTGTTTGAGAAGAAAACAACAATGACACTTCTTTCACAGTAATATGCAAAACAAAAACGAGAACGGCTCGGTTATTAATAAGTTGTGTGCAGCAGAGGCACGGGTGCGAGGGCGTAGCTCCGCAGAATGTTCTTTTTGCACGGCTGCTCGTGCAAAAAGGGCGCTTTTGTGCTCGGGCCTGTGCCTTTTCTGCACACAACGTATGTTACAGAGTGTATAGCACGCCTTCGAGAGCACTCGCGTGCGGCGAGAAATCCATCATATACAGGGTACGATCGCAGGAAACCTCGCAGGGGTGCAGGAAGCTGCAAGTGCACGGTGCACCAGAATGTGAAACTAGAGGTGGTAATAGTATTTCACAGTTTGAGAATATGACGTTACTTGACGTAACTGCCTTACCGGCGGATGATAAGGGCCATCGGAGCACGACCAACTATTTGTTGTGATCGGGGCATTCGATTGGACGCGGGTAGATAGATAGATAGATAGATTGATAGATAGGTTGGTAAAGATTTGAAAAACACGAAAGAATAAAACATGTAGGGACGAAGACAGACAGCGCAGTTCTTTGTTGACATGAAATGTAAGATCAAGCACATTATTCTGTCGGATCAAATGGTTTTGTTGAATTAGGTTTAGCTCGCAAGTCAGCCGTTCTTCGGCGGGCTTTCAGCTTTCTGCGATGGTTGTTTTAATCGTGAACGCAGGCTCAAACAATGTAGGCAGCGGCGCCAAATAGATCTGAAACTAAGAAACAGCTCGGACGCCTGGAACGAACACACATAGAGATCACATCACAGGAAAACTCAAACCACTCACCTTTCGTTCGACAACGGTACGTACGTCAGGCACGATGTTTCCGATGTTTCTCCAGGCGTTGAGGAGACCGCGTCTGTTTCCGTGCTCCTATTGGTCGTGACGTCACCAAATTTCATCCAATAAAGTGCGCGCCGAAGTTTTCTCTAGTCGCCGGTGGCTGTGTGAAGTTTGCATTTAGTTTGCACGTTCGAGGTTGCAAAATTCATCGCACTCAAGAGTCTGTGTGCTTATTTTCACAATAAAGAGTGCTTAAATGATAACTGAATCTAAATTAAAAAAAAAATGAAACAATTACAGTATTTCGTAAGTAAAAGAAAATGACGTCAGAGTCTTCAAATTTGGCGCCCCTCCGTGGCTTCACGGGGGAAGACCCCGTAGTGCCATCGGTAATTTCAAAATGGCGTTGTATTCACCCTGTAGGTGAAGTGAGCGATCGGTGAGTTTTTTTCACCTCGTTTGGGACGGTGTTCGCGCTCCGTGACCCGCAACTAATGCTCACGAACACATCGACTCCGGCGTAAGATCCGAATTTTTTCCGGACATCCTCCGAACCGAACGGCGAAACGGCATCTAAATTATCCCCGTGGTTTTGTTACTCTTTCGAAGCCTAAATCAGGCTAGCACAGTGGCATCTTTCGAGATACGGCGGCTAAGCCTAAAAAAGCTGCATACTTAACCCTAAAACAATTTGAATTTCGCCTGAGCGGACTGTCTCATTAGCCCGAGCTGGTCGGGTCCGCGCCGACGAATCGCGCTCGGACCCGAGGCAGCGCTCGTGGACGGAACTCCGACGGAGACGGGTTCTTTCAGCGGACCGAACCCGGGATGTGATCGGCGGCGCGCCAGTCGAAGACGGCAGCAGCCCGACGTCGTTCATCGGCGACGACGACCATGGCGGATACCCGAAGACGAGTGAAATTGTACGCCTTGAACGCCGACCGGCAGTGGGATGACCGCGGTACGGGCCACGTCTCTTCGTCGTACGTCGACCGGCACAAGGCGATGTCCCTCCTCGTCCGAGCCGAGTCCGACGGTGAGTTTCTGGGGCCCGTCGGTACCTCCGCGAAACCCCCTCCTCACTTCGAGGCCCCCCAGCGCGTCTGTGATCTTCGGGGGTTCGTGCGTGAGGGACCTGGGAGAGTATAAGGAGTTTGTGGAGTCTTCGCGGGTTCTGTGCGCTTGCTTTGGGGTGTAGTGAGTCAGCGTGCGAAATTTTGACACGTTCGTGTGTTGGGAAAGGGGGAGGGGGGGTCTATTGTTTACATTCCTGGATGTCTGTAACGCTCAAGTCGACAGCTTCGCGTTTTAAAAATAAAGAATGAAGAAGCGTTGAAATGGGTGAAGCGCGCCTTCCGCTATTTTTAATGTGCCTCCCACATCCCGTGAAAAAAGAAATTGTTCCTTTTTTATATTTTTTATGGTGCTTTTCTACGAATATTAGTCGCGTTTGACGTGTGGTTTTGTAAACGTTGTGCTTGCGTTGCGTGATGTTTCGTAACGCTAATTTTATTTTTTTTTCTCGTGTTTGTTTTAGGTTCTTTACTTTTGGAATCAAAGATTCAACAGGACACTGCCTATCAAAAGCAACAGGTATGCACTCGCTTTTTCTCCTATTGTCAGAGTTTTTGGGAAGGGTCAGAGTGAGTCGTGTGCACCACCCTGGTACGCTAGTGGTACAGCGATTCAATAACCGCTCTGACTAACCAGCGTCGGGACTGGATTGTACAGATGTCTAAATGGACCTTTTGCCAGATTGCGCAAGCGTCGGGGAGAATAGTGGGAACATAGGTACACGTGCTGCTCACGCTCACCTCACCTGTATAAATTATTAAAATTAAATTAACAAAATAAGGCCTTTGACAAACACACGTGCATGGTGCCATCTGTTTTAAGCTTTTGCTCCAGAAATGTTAACTGTGGCAGACGCCACCATGCACGGCGTATGTAAATGCACTCGCAGCATGCTTCTTGGCGTTTGGCTAATTTAGCGAAAGGTCTATTGTTTTTTTTATCTTGATGGATGGGATCGGCAAAACACTATAGGAGTGGTAGCTTGTGCCACCTAGCTTGGGGACATTTGCATCCCTCCCTTTTAAATTTTGCTCTATATTTCGTTGAAATTCCTAACACAGTGTGAACATCGTTGCCGGAGAAAGTTTTGAAAGGATGATGAACGTACACCCTTCATACCCTAAATATGGCATTCCAGATTACACAATACCCTGTTATATGCCTGTTGTCTGCAGACTGAACAACTGAAATCTTGTGTACAATTTCTTCTGTGGTGTGCTCACACGAAACCTGCTAGCATAGTAGTAGCAATGTGCCGACACCAACTGGGGTGCCGAAATTTTATGTTTGACACTAATGCGTGGGATTTATGTGAAGAATTGCTGGCATTCTTTTTGGGCAAGCTGTTAGAGCACATTTAGGTACTACCTGGATGCAGTAGCACCAGTGGAAGCTAGAATTTGTCTGATGCTAGATGTTGATATGGAGAGCTAGCGCTGATGCCTCCTTCATGACTTCATGCGGCTTTAAAGGGGTACGGAAACAAAAATTGAAATATTCAACTTTCGTTCGGAAATGAGTCAAGCACGATGGATTTTAACAGTTGATGATAATCACATGTTTGTATTTTGAACGTCTGGCTATATTCTTCGTTCTAAACGGTGCACTTGAGCAAGCGCTTGAAGAGAAGTGAACGGCGAGTGCAATGTGTCATGGGATATCCGGCGCATACAAAAACAGAAAGAAAAGATTCCCCGCATTCTTGACGTAGCAAGGCTGGTGTGGCTATGAGCTTTGCCCTTGGTGGCGTTGCCAGCGGTGTGGTGGTGTCAATAGCGTCGGCGCGTTACAACCACGCCGTTCGAAGTACCCACGGGATGACGAGCGTGTGGTTGGCCCAACAAGCACGTAGCTTCCACAACACTGTCAGCTTAGGGCTGAAGGAGGTGGGGAAAGCAACTTTTGTCCGAGTTTTGAGTGGCGGGCTAATCTTCTAGAGGGAGAATGGCTGTGTCTGGTTGCATGAGTGAGGGTCCGAGAAAGAGGGGAGTCCTTCCTTTCCGTCTTCTTAAACTGTTTGGTACAATGCGCAATTTGTGAGTTGAGGAAAGCTAAGAAGGAAAATGTTGAAATTCCAAAGAGCGGCGCTGCTCCGATGGAACTTGCTACGTCATGACTACGTAGCAAGTTCCCCAATGTTGCTAGATTACCTCCCAAATAGGCTCCACATGCATCAACCAGGTGCACATTGAAAGATTGTTTGCTTGTGCCTTTCAGCGAAAGATTGGTATTTTTGAGATTCTGCTGCAACATGCAACACATTGAAGCTAAAAAATGAGCACTGGAATTTGGCTTCCGTACACCTTTAATAATTTCTAGTGCAGAAATTGCATTGAGAGGATGTGTTTCTAATATGAAGGGTATTTACTGGTAGGGCATCAACCTGAGTATATGGGTAACTGCTTCCAAAAGTTTGAAAAATTGGCAGCAGGAAAACAAGCGTAACAATGACGGTAATGTGACATTGGTACCCCATTTGAAACAGTTTTAGTGTATAAAGTTAAACCATCTGCTTTGTAGTTGAATGGCTTGCATCACAGTCTTCAGTAATCTCTGTCTGTAATAAGATGCTGCTGCTCCATTTGAAACACTTTTAATGCAGAAGTACCCATTGCCTTGCACTGGGGTTAGTTCCGTCATATGTTTGGGAAATGTGCCATTTGCTCTTTTGTCTCTTACATACTGGTTGCGTTCATTATGTTTGATTGATTTTTTTTTTTTTAATTTGAGAGGTAAAAATGACAGACACTGCATTGAATTTATAGTGCCGCTGCCTTTCTGGTCATTCAACTGGTGGTAAATTGATGAATAGTCATTCATTGCGTGTGTTTGTTGACTCCGCCCAAACTCATTTTCGTCTAATGACCTTATCGATAGCACTTCAATTATATTATTTGTAACTGTCTAGGATGTCATTTTATTGTTGCTATTGTTGACTGTTTCCTGAGGTCTTTTGTTCGAGGTGTTCTCAGTGCTCATTCAATTTTAGGTGGCCTCCAATATGCAGGATTCGTGCTTAGGTAATTTCCAACTCAAACCTGAAAACATTTTTTTTTTTTTTTTTTTTGAGGTGTGACTCATTTGTTGAGTGTGCTCCTATGTTAGTGACAAATATGGACTGTTCATTTCATTTTAAGGAATACGGCAGCTTTCATGGAATTGCAGCATATGCGGTTATGTGTAAAACACAATTTTAACCATCAATATTGTGTTCAAAAGCACCTGCGACTGCAGTCTGGTTGGGAAGATCCATTCATGACTGTCCAAGCGAAGAAAGTGTATTCAAAAGTGTCACACGTCACACTTAAATTTGTATTGCTTTATCACCCTCGTGTGCTTGAGACCGGTTGAACCAGTTAATCATCATTCGTAAACTGCAGCCGTTGGATATCAGCTTCAAAGTTACTTGTGCAATCCTTTCGAAATCACTATTGAGGCACTGTTCTTTGTGTGTAAAGGAACAAATCATGACCTCATTAGTTTTAAAATCATTAAAAAATAGCAATTTAGGCTTTTTTTTTTTCTTTTTTTTTTTTTTTTCGTAAAATGGTAAGAAAATCTCACAAGGCGCAATTAAGAAAACAATGCTGGCATTGTGGCATGATCGCCAGGCGTGCCAAGTCACTCAAGGCTTCAGCTAGAGCGCGTTCCATTTTCCACAACCAACAGCGCTTCACCGGTCAGGTGATAAAAGTGGAGCAACGAGACAGCTTGTCGTCTCATCACCAAGGTTTTTTTCCATGATAACAGCTTGCTTTGTTTTATTTTATCTTTGCTTTGGGTGGGGACACTCCTCTGAAGCAGTCGCAAAGTGGGATTACCGATAAGGGGCATGCTTTGAAGGAGGGGAGAAAGGTGTGTTGCGACAATCTTGCATTCTTTTATTTTCTTTCCATTTTTGTTATCCTTCTGGTCTTGTTTTATCACAGAGGGTTTGCAAACTTTTAAGGGGGAGGAGGGATGTTATTTCTCCCCCTTGTTAAACCTAGATTCAGGATTTTTTTATTGTGCTCCCAAACAGCTCAAAGGCTTAAATAAGATTACATATACATAAGGATTCAGATGCGAGAAGCTGGCATTGTTTGATTTGCTAGGAGTTACAGTGAGCCACATGACCATGTACTTGCTCAGAAATCGTCAGATGTGCCGAAAAAAAGTATATTTTCCGGTCTATATGTTGCACCGTTGTGTAAACAACCATTTTTTGCAAAAAAGTTTTTGAGTCCCACTTAAATGTCGGCACGGCCTGGCTAAGTCAAGGATAGTTGATCGGATGACGGCAGCTTGCCTAATTCAGTTGCATCTGGAGCAGAGGCCAGATTCACGAAGAGCTTCTTAGTTTACGACAACTTAGCTAAGAAGTTTGTAAGTTAAGAACATCGTAAGAAGAGGAGAAATCGGTATTCACGAACGCGTTCTTAAGTGAGGAGAGGAAAGCGACGTCGTACGGAAAAACTAAAACTTACCGGTTCTGTTGCTATGGCGACGGCGTCTTCGGCAGCACGAACAACCAATCAGAGAGCTTGGCATTTGTTCGGAGCCCTTCGGAGCCGTTCGGAGCACGTGGATTTTTCATAACAAACACAGGCGGCCTTTCTGCCACCGCTTGTCTGGGGTTCGTATCCGTGCAGTGATATGTCGACGCTAACACGATTGAAACTCGCCCGAATGCCGAGGCCGGGATGCGTAACCACCCCCATTGACTGCTACGAACTCGATCGCTACCAAGTCAACACAACTGTCATCGTTGGTAAAAGACGGCCCGCAGTCGTTTGCAAAGCGACGTAGATGGGAACAAATTTCCGCGGCGTTTTTTGCAGCCTCGGAGATGCAGGAGCGAGCCGACGTTAAAAAAGATACGTTTGAACTACGACAGTGTAAGCAAGAGCCACGTAAATGCCTGTTCACACTACGGAGCGGACGCGCGCGTTTGATCGAAGTGCTCTATTTGCGCTGTTGGACCCCGAATTGATAAGCGCTTCGGGACCGATCCTTTACAATTGCAACTGGATGCTGACGTGACACCCGGCGAAGAAAGGTTGGACCGGTATTGCGACCCACGAACTGTTGCAGCGATCGACAGTGAAATGCAGTCGTGTCAGAATAAAATGAAATACTAATAACAAAGTGTACATACCATGTTGCGAAGGTAATCCATACGGCATTTATTTGAGCTTGATATCACACAAAACAGATAGAATCGATGAGAGCCCTTTTTCGACGACAGCGTTCGTCACCGTTGCCTCGGAAAACAAGGAGATGAGAAGAGGAAGAGATTGACCTCTTAATCTAGAATTGAGGTAAGCGATCAAACTATAATACGGGAAGGGTTCACAAGGGTCGCGCGAGAATATTCCATTCAGCACGCCAGCCAGTCGTGGCCCGTGGGCAGACGGTCTTCGCCAAGGACCGTCAGATCATCGCTGCACCGAGTCGGAGTGCTTGCTAGGCCTATCCGCCGATCGGTCGGAGTCCGTCGTGGCCCTTGGAGTCTTTCCCGGGTGTCTGTGGATCCAGCGTTCTTGTTCGTTCGTCGTGGTCTGTTTCAAGTACTTTTTACTTGTTTCTTGCTGCTTGAATTCGGGACGCGTGAGAACCGCACGTAGAAAAATAAACATCCGTTGGTTGTCGCGACCAACTGAGCGACGCTGTTGGCCATGCTGATTTGATCGGAAGAAGTGCGTAAGACAGCTTCGGAGCTGTCGTAGGATTTCGTCGTAACCTGCGCAAAAACTTTCGAAAATTTCGTTTCGTGAATACGGATTTGTTCTTAAGTTTTGTCTTACGCACATTTTTGGCGTAAGATTGTTTCGTGAATATGGCCTCTGATGTTTTAACGAAGAGGATATATACGTGCAGCAGCGGAGTTCACTTCAGCCCTCGTGTGAGGCAGAGGAACTTGAGGCTTGGAAACAAGCTGTGACGAAAATGTTGCGAGTTAGGTTTTCCTGATTCGAAGGGGCTTTTGTGCTTTGCAGGAGACGCTGATCGTGTGGTCCGAGGGTGACAACTATGACCTGGCCCTCAGCTTCCAGGAGAAAGCGGGCTGTGACGAGATATGGGAGAAGATATGCCAGGTAAGCGCCGTGCAATGGCATGGGAAACGGACTGTCTGAAGGATTGCATCTCTCGTGAGGGTTTGTGTCCTTCTTTGCCGTCTTTTGGTGCTCTGTTTCTTTGAAAGTGCAGTGATGTGATTGTTGCGCCAAACTGCGCCAAGGGGCTAACCCTGCTACATCCTGCTACATTTTGCCGAAATAGGGGTAATCTGCGCCAAGCCTGCGCCAAAAGACCAATTTTGGTTGTCTTTCAAAACCGAAACTAAACTGAGTACCGTAATTGAGCATGCATGAGCTAGGTAGCGCAAGCGGCCGCCCAACAAAAAGTACCCTGTATCAATCGTCCATCTGGTTTTACATAGTTTTTCCCGCCACCTCTCGTTTCACGCTCGCGTCGTTCATGTGTCTCGTCTCGCTTCTTTAAAAAAAAAAAAAAAATTCAACGATAGACGCGGGCATATGTTGACGCTTCAGTGCTTCAGTCGTTGTACAAAGCGCTCCAAGTGCTTAAGTGCTTTTTGACCCTGACTCGCGATGTCTTGTTTTGACCTGACTCGCTCAGGTTCTTTTTTCTGTGTGTTTAGCTTGTACCTCGCCTGCCGGCCAGGAAAGCACGTGCCGCTGGACTGTTTTTTGTCGTATTTTGCATACAATTTTGGAAACCAGTTGGCGACGGAGCGGAGTGGCATCTGTTTCGATCAAACAGCCATCTCCGCTCGCGCGACGAAGCACATGCAAATGAAAACCTGCCAAAGTTGCCCTCATGTGCGCGCGGACATGACTGCACGACAGAGGCACCAGCCGGGACACTTGCAAGCCATTGTTTTAAGTTTGCTTACTTTTGACAAAAATCTGGCACGTCGGGAACCAGTAAAACGGTGACAAGCGGTTTTTCGAAATTGCTCGGCAACGCCCACAGCGGGTCCAACCACATGAGCGAATGACGTTTTAGCGAACAGCGACATTTGAGCGAATCAACGTTTTAGTGAATAACCGGGGCGCGCATTAACCCATCCGCCGCGCTGCGCTTTACGCCGCTTTGCGGCGACGGTCTGCGGCGGCTCATTACAAAAATGTGAACCCATTTGGCCCACCCGAAAACGCCGCTTTGCCGCGTCCGACTATTCGCTAAAGTGTCATTCGGTGAAACGTGGGCGTTCGCTAAAACGTCATTCGATCAAGTGAGTGCCTCCCGCCCACAGCACTGTTTATTTGTGGGACGTCTCAATGTCTCTTTGGAGACATTGAAAGTGGGAATTCATTACTAGCCAAAGGCAAAGCGAGTCTTGCAGCAGCCTTGTAGAAAGTTTCGAAAAGCAAAAAGAAAAGCACCCGGTAGTCTTAATGCACCTTTGTCTGGTATACAGTTTTGCATTGCACTGCAGTAGTTACGTGTTTCATCAGTCGGAGACAGCTTCCATTTATTATATTATATAACTGAGTCGGTCAACCTAATGCTGTGATATTTACTAGTAAGCTGGTCATTTTCAAATAAATTTTAATATGTGCAGTTTGGTTATTATTTATCTATAACCGTACATACATATGTATAACTTAACTGAAGCATTGCGAAATGTGTCATGTCATTGTCTTTTTAGTAACATGTTGAAAGACTCCCAGGTGGTCGAACTTTACCATAATTTGTTTATTGCGGCAAGTGAAGTGGCCTTCGTTCGTTCAGCACTTAAAACAAATATGTTTATTTTTCTAAGAATATCTGCTCCAAAAGTTACTTTTACTGCTCCGAAACATTGTTTTGGCTGCTCCAAAAGCAACTTTTGCTGCTCCAAAACACTGTTTTGCCTGCTCCAAAAACCACTTTTTCTGCTCCAAAGCACCGTTTTAGCTGCTCCAAAAGGTGCTCCAAAACGGCTTAGGCCAATCACATCACTGAAAGTGTGAAAGCAAGTAATGCATGTGAGTGGTCGGAGGAAAACTGCAGTGGCTGGTTTATCAGTGGCTGCTAGATGAGGTAGTGTGCACTGTTTTTATTGTAAAAGGCTTTGACCTTTCGCAGAACGTGGGTGGACAGGCGAAAGATTTTGTAAAATTAATTTTTGGTAAACCTAGAAAAGTTGGGTGGTTGTGAGACTATTGGTCCAAATTATGGCCAGAGTAGGGGAAACCTGAAAGTGCAGTAGATTATGGACAGACTTTTGTATCAGATATGCCATCATGCCTTCGGGAATCAAAAGTGCTCCAGACAGAAAGAAATATGCAATTTGACTCGGGATTTCCAATGCTGCAATGGGGCGAGCACCCGTCTCCATTGATTGTGGACGTCGTCTTTCTTTCATAAAATTACATCCCCGTAAAACAGGCACATTCAGTGTCTCTTTAGTACCCTAAAAGCAGATGTTCGGAGTGTGCAGCAGAACCTCTGTGTTGCATCGGGTTTGCGGCAGCGTTACATCGTCGCTTTCTTTAAATGACATTTGAAGCCTCACGGTAACTCATTCGGCAGCTGAAGGCAAGATTTGCTGTGTGTGCTGTGGTGCTTCGGCGTTACATTGGAATTACGCCGGCGTTAGATCGACATTTTCTTCGAAAGACGTTCAAAGTCAAACATTAACTCGTTCTTGAGTCTAAGGCAAAAATTGCTTGCTGCTGCGCCTCGACAGCACGCTGGAGTTGTAGCCGGCATTACGTCGCCTTGCGTGGGCGTTACATTGGCTTTCGCCAACTTTACAACAGCCGGTGTCAATCCTTTCTCTCCTCTCTCAGGTACAGGGCAAGGACCCGTCGGTGGACATCACGCAGGACGTGGTGGAGTCGGAGGACGAGCGGTTGGAGGAGGGGGCGGACGGGGGCCCCGGCTCGTCGTCCCTGCCCCCCGTGGAGCTGCCCCCCTGCGAGGCGTCCCGGCTGGAGGAGCTGTGCGAGCTGCTCCAGAGCTGCCTGCCCTCGCCCATGCGCAGGGACAAGCTGGCCACTGCCCTGGAGGAGCAGGACTATGTCCGTCGCCTCCTTGCCCTCTTCCGCTCCTGCGAGCAGCTGGACGACCGACAGGTGCCCTTTCTCTCTCCCTTCCCGTCTCCCTTTTCGAATCTTGAGTGTGAAAGGGGCATTTTATGAAGGCGTCGAAATGTAGGCAGCCAGCGCAAGTATTTATTTTTAACTGGACGAGCAATCTTCGAAGGAGTTGAGGGTCGCACCAGCGAAGACTAGCTGTAGTCATTATCACTGCACAGCAAATGAAATGAGACTGGGGCATCGACCGATAAGAAGAATGAGGCGAAAAGTGTGAACATAGTAAACCATGGCCCGAGTGTGCGTCGTCGCGTCGTAGAAGTCGGGTGCTTCACCTCTCCCTGCCCGTCGCCGACCCAGGGCCTGCACCAGCTGTACGACATCTTTAAGGGCATGTTCCTGCTGAACAAGAACGCCCTGTTTGATGCCATGTTTGCCGAGGATGCCATCCTGGACGTGGTTGGGGTGCTGGAGTACGAGCCGGGGGGTCCCCAGCGCCGCCGGCACCGGGACTACCTGTGCCAGGTGTCCCGCTTCCGGGAGGTGATCCCCCTGGGCAACCCCGAGCTGTTAGCCAAGATCCACCAGACCTACCGGGTCCAGTACATCCAGGACGTGGTGCTGCCCACCCCGTCCGTCTTCGAGGAGAACATGCTCTCCACCCTCTCCTCCTTCATCTTCTTCAACAAGGCCGACATTGTGTCCATGCTGCAGGTGCGCCGTCCCCTTCTGCAGCAGAGGGTTTCTAATTTCTGAACGCACAGCGTTTGTAGGGCCGGCTTTTGGGCAAAAGTGGAGGGACTACATTTAAGGGTGAGGTAAACACGCCAGTTTGAAATGTGTTGTAGGCAGTGAAGTCAGTGCCTACAACAAAAAGGAGACAAGTCCTAGGAGAGGAAACTGACGGGTTGCCGTTTCTTGCGTGACACCGCGACGTCAAATGACATTGCAACGACGGAGCGGAGCTATTAATGGAACCCCTTTCAGTCTCGGCCTTGATGCGGTAAAGTGGTGCAGGAGCTTGCAGACCTTGTAAAGAACACTGCACTTACCGGGGAATGTCTGGCACATAGCCATACGTCAGTGGATGGCTCAGATCCTCTGGAATAGCCACTTATATAGCAAACGCACTTTGCAAAACTTGGGGGTTTGGTGCTACGAGCAGGTAACAACGAATTTGGAACCAATGCCACTACTGGTATTCTTGAATGGCTGAAAAATTTTGAAGGCGAACTGTCGAGTTTTGTGCGCCTTTGGTTTGTTACCCTTGTTGGGGCGACCTTCTAAGCGGTCCGTCGTTGCACGTTGTCGTTGCAGGAGGACGAGAAGTTCCTGAGCGAGCTGTTTGCCCAGCTGACGGACGAGGCGACGGACGACGACAAGCGGAGGGACCTGGTGCTCTTCCTCAAGGAGTTTTGTACATTCTCGCAGACGCTACAGCCGCAGTGTAGGGAGTCCTTTTTTAAGGTGGGTGCCCCCCTTCTAAGGTCCACGGGGTCCCAGTCTCACTGTCGCGAGCTAAGAGTCGCCATCAAAAGTGGTAGTGTGATGGAATGGGCTTGCCCACAACACCGTGGTAGGCAGTGGAATTCGGCGTCCTTTGCTACCTCAATAGGGGCAATTGCGGACAGACAGGAATGTTGTGTTCACACTAACTGCTGTGGTAGTTTGCTTCTCCTCATCTGTCGTTTGTGGCTACAGTGTTTTGGGAACACTGTAAGTATCGGAGGCTAGATCGACAAAAAGATTTTTAAGCTATGTCAATTTAGCCATGAATTTTGTAAGTTGCTATGAAATTGGCATTTGTGAATTGGGCTTTGTTGTTCAAGTTTTTCATTGTGAGATTGTTGTTTGAACCTGGCCTCTGCTCAAATTTCTTAGTAGAGTTCCAGGTTTTTCTGGTAAATTTTGTTGTTTCCGTGCTTTTCCTATTAGGGTCGAAGCTCTTTAGGGTCTAACCTTGTCCAGCATCCGTGCTCACATCGATCTTGCTGGTGCTCGTCAGCTCATGTGCTCGTGTAGGGAAAAAAAAAAAAAGAAAATGTTTGCGTAGTCGACAGGATTTGAACCTGTGCGGGGACACCCCAATGGATTCCTAGTCCATCGCCTTAACCACTCGGCCAAGACTGCGGGACGAGTAGGGGGCTTTGAGATGTAGTAGTAACTCAAAAGCTGGGGATGTAGCCGCTCAACGTCTATACAGGAGAGGGCGCTGCGGTCAAATGCGCATATACCATATTTATTCAAATATAAGGCGGTCACGATTATAAGGCGAGGGGGCAGTTGAAGGACCCAAGAAAAAGAAGAAAAATCGTCATATTGCTGAGCTTATATACTGAGCTTCAAATATAAGGCGGGGTGTAACTTTGAGACTACGGATTTCGGAAAAAAAACCTCACCTTATATTCGAATAAATACGGTAATTGCGTTAAACTTTGCATGCATTGGCTCAACATTTATAGACGAGAGGGCGCTGCGGTCAAATGCGTATATAACCACGTTCCATACCACACTCTCTTTCTGACATGGATGAAAACGAACGAAAGGTTCGGCATGCTGCGGCTCAGCGTCTACGCAGACAAGCACCACAAGAGCTTCGCCGCAATCACCATTATTCACCACATGGAGATGCGGTCATTTTTTTTGTTTTGGCACCTGTGTTGTTATGTTTTTATTGGGCTTGGAGAGACTGGCAATTGGAATAAACTTAGTGGCACGTTTCTAAGACTGTGGTTTTATTTGTTTTGTTTTCTATCTTTGCAGACACTTTCAAGTTTAGGCATTCTACAAGCATTGGAAATTACATTGGTAAGTTGATCGCTCCCTAGTTAACAAAGGTCGATAGATTTTGAGGACCGTATTCGTAGTGCACGCACGCTCCGGGCTATTTGTTGATGAGTCGAGCTGCATTGCATTCTGTTCAAACTAAAATTAAACTAAGTTTTTTTTTTTTTTATATAAACTTGCAATTACCAATGTCTACGTTAGTGTTTGAAGACAGTGAAGCTTCATGTTTTGTGACTCGAGCCTAGCTAACACGTTTCCAGGTCCCTAAAGTTTGCGAGCTCAGTGAATGTTTTGAACTTGCTGCTTGTTGTAAATACAAAACGAGTTACACGCACCCCACGCTTTCGGAAAAAATTGGTATCCGTGACAACGCCTTCGGCGACATGCCTTTTCCCGTTACTCTTTGATTGAACTGGGCAAGCAAGTAAGCGCAGTTGTGCTTACTTTCGTGTATCACATTCTTTTCTAGTCCCTGTGTCATTCAATGTTTAAACCTTAACAGCACAGTTTAATCGTGGAACGATAAACCAATTAGCCCAACACCGAGGACGGTTGTGCAGTTGCTCTTCTAACGGGTCTTCCGCCTTCTTGCAGGGTATGGAGGACCCCGTGATCAAGACGGCCTCCATCGACATTCTCTCCTACTTAGTGGACTACAGTCCGTCCATGGTGCGCGAGTATGCCTTCCAGCAGTCCAATATGCAGGACGACGTGAGTTCACTTTCTCTGCTAGCTCCCCTTTCTTTTCTTCTCTTTTTTTGGCAGATTGTGGGTTGCGTAGCGTCGGTCGCGCTTTTTCCGCTCTTGGACGCAAGTGTCTGCTGTGAACGCTACTCACCTCGCGTTTGTGCTTGGCTCCTCAATTCTAACGGTTACTGGAACGTATTCTAAGTTTGTGAGCTTGTAGAGACAACAAATTGCACCACAAAAGAAGCGACCGACCGTCGGGAAGGGTCTGGGAGCTAGGTTTGAATCTGTCCCCTCAAGAAAGCCGGTTCGGGATGGTTGTGCTCTTCGGGGATTCGTATCGCTGTGCCTCGGTTGTGGTGACGTAGTGCGTCGTTGATATCCCCGTGATGTTTTCTCTCTCCCAGGATCAACTTCTGATCAACGTTATCATAGAGCAGATGATTTGTGATCCAGACCCAGGTATGTCGATTTCTCTGGGTTCATCAGCCATTGATAAGGGTGTGCAAATGTTCACCGTTTAGGATAGTTGCCGAAAGTAGTGTGGACTCGATTCGCTATCCCTTTTTGTCATTTTAAATATTGACTTGCCTTTGTAACTCTTCTGGTAGTGCAGTAGGGACTGGCGCTCCATTAGTTTCAGCGGCATTGCCTTAGTTTTCAAGTGTCACTTCACAGCAAGTTTCTGGCGGCCGTCTTTTGTCTCACGATGGTTTGCACGTGCTCGATTAAATCGACAGGGGAGGCCTGTAAAGATGTCGACTCGTACCCGGTGTTCGTTTGGCTCGCACTTTTGCTAGTCCAGTGTGCACCTAAACGTTTGCACTCATTCCCCGGACGCCTTTTGCCCTGCACATTGCAGAACTTGGCGGAGCTGTTCAGCTCTCTGGAATCCTCCGGTTATTGCTGGACCCCGAGAACATGCTCTCGCTTGACACTGTGAGTCATTCCCTTTCCTGTGTACCACATACAGTGTGCGTGCGTGCTGCCTATGAGAAGGATTGGCACAGTGTGGTGTCGCATCTACACATCGCGGTGTTGCATCTGGTACAGCCTCTGGCTTGCGGCAACGTCTTTTGTGAAGGTGTGGCAAGGAATAGACACGCTTTGACTGCTTCTACTCTGTCTCTCGGATAGTGCCGCTGTCGATGTCAAGCAGACCCGAAAGCGAAAACACACCACGTCCACCTCTGCATTCGCATCTGCTTGTGACCGACAGAAACACCGTCTGATGAGTGCACCACAAAAGAGGTTCATGCCACACTCGTCTGCTGTTTGATGAGCCTGCTCGTAAGCGGAATCAGTTTTTTTTTTTGCTTTTCATATTTTATCTTCAGCCATAGTAACTTTTGAACTTTGGCATCTTGTCTGAATTGTGAGGGTCATATTTTGGTGGAGCCTGCGCATTTGGGAATACGCTGTTTTATTTGTATGGTGCAAAAGACGTGTTTCGTTTTTGTTGTCCGTCAGACAGTTGTGTTCACGTAAAAAATATAGGCATTTAGCTTGTTAATGCCAAATGTCCGGCAGGCAAAGGGATCCAGCTCTAACTAAAGTTGTGGTTGTGTCCGTGGTCCCTGGGTTCTCTTGTTGCAGAAGTCTGAATTCCTCAACTTCTTCTACAAGCACTGCATGCACGTGCTGATCGCACCAGTCCTGGCCAACACCACCGGTGATGCACCGAGCAGAGGTATGTAACCTTCCTCGAAGAGTCCTGTATTCTCACAGACGTAACGAACGGACGTAACGACGTCTTCTGCAGGCACAGTGTTCTTGCGGACATAATGTTGTCAACTGCAAGTGAGGTGTTTTTGTCCACGAGTAAAGTGTTATTGCAGACGAAACATTGTTGGCAAGTGTCGCTAAGGAAACGTTGTCTGCAAGTGGAGGGTTCTTGCAGACTAACGTTACTAGACCAACCCGGTTATGGAACTGTCCTTAGACGCTGCTTCTACATGAAGTAGCCCCCCTCTCTAACCCAAAGGTTTGCCTCTAGTCGTTTTGAGGACCACAATTTGAGAAAAAGGTGACCGTAAATAAATGAAGGACGACAACCAATCAAGTCCTCAAAATATAGGGACCCCACGTTTCGAGGCCTAATCGGCTCTTCTTCAGGGGCTACTATGGCGACGGTTGTGAGGTGCAGCAGTTTTTTATATTCTTCCAATGATCTGTCGGAGCCTGTGACATAGACGTCGGCGCCAACCTCAAGAGGGACTGGAGGGTTCGTTTGATCTAGCAATGTTATAGATAAAACATCATCTGCAAGTAGACTGTTCTTGCAGATGGAACATCGTCGTCCCCAATCGAAGCGTATTATAGACGAAACATTGTCAGGCTGTGCGTGGAGGCCAAGGAGGATAGAAGCGTAGGAGAGGGCATGACGACAGCCGTGTAGCCTCCACAAGCCATGCTCCCTTGACGCCTCGCCTCTTTCTCATTTTCCTCCTTATCCTCCTCACTTATCACGCCAACGTGACTGCATCACATGACCGTAGCTAGCCTTTGTCTAGCTATGGGGTACTAGAATACTCCATAGGCTAGCCTTCTATCTAGTAAAACCTAGCGGATGGAGTGCGCGCAAGCCTGCAAGGAGTCCTTCTACAATCAACCATCCATCTCACACGTGACATGTCACGTGCACCAATAGTCAGAGAGATCTACGGTCACGTTGGCCACAACATCGTTTAAACTTTTTATGACTAGGCTTCACCAGTATTGCAACGTGCCCTCTCCTAGTACTTCTAACCTCCTTGGTGGAGGCACAGGCCACAAGGTCTGCAGGGATGTTACTCTAGAAGCCCCTTAATTTTCGCGCAATTCTCCATCTGCAGAGTGTGGCCAGACTGCTCAGCTGCTGGGCCTCATCGTGGAGCTGCTGTCGTTCTGTGTGGAGCACCACAGCTACCACATCAAGAACTATGTGCTGCACAAGGACCTGCTGCGCAGGGTGCTGGTGCTCATGCGCTCCAAGTTCACCTTCCTGGTGCTGTGCGCCCTGCGCTTCATGCGCCGCATCGTGGGCCTCAAGGACGAGTTCTACAACCGCTACATCGTCAACGGGAACCTGTTCGGCCCTGTGGTGGACGCCTTCCGCCGCAACGAGGGACGCTACAACCTCCTCGACTCGGCTGTGCTCGAGCTCTTCGAGTTTATACGCGTGGTGGGTGGCCTTGTTCCTTTCTTTTCTGTCCGATTCTTTTCTTCTCCCTGTTTCTTTTTTGTTTTTGTTTAAAGAATGAAGACGGAACAAAGAACTAAACAGGACAAGTGCTGACTTTTAACTACACATTTAATTAATGAAAAAATCCGCAGCTTTTTGTCACAGTGCACAAAGAGGGGACACCAATAGCTCCATGAGCGCAGGCATTGACGCTCTGCTTGGAAACGGCGAGGCTTGTATTCCCTCTCTTCGGAAGGTGTCCTTCCCCCTAGGAGGCCTCCCTGTGTGCTCATGCTGAATTCCCTAGAAGAATTGACGTGATGTGATGTGGCACCGATGATGGTTGACGATTCTTTGTGACTTTTTTTTTAATCGGACGGTCTCACAGTGGTAGGGACCTAGCCTGCGGGGGTCTTTTTTTATTTTTTTTTTTGTCTTCTTTGCTTCACTAGCAGCGCATTTCTGACATTCTCTCGGCACTTTCCACTATTCCCCTCGATGCTCCATTGGCTATATGACATAGAGTAGGCGCATGGAACAGTCCCAAGGCCCCTTGTCCGGAGGGTGAACTGGAGCTGTCTGTCTAGCAATGCCGACGGGAAGTTCCCATGACAGTAAGTTCAGTCATGGCCAAAAAGTGCTATCCGTGTGCTATGCAGATTGACCGAAGTCTGGCTTCTTTTATGTCTTCGTTCCTGTTTTCTTTTTGTTTCTGTCTTTTTGTCCATATCTCTCTTTGTTTCTTCCTGTGTTTTACTGTTTTGCCCTCTTCCCGGCAAGAAAAGCTTGTGTACGAACGCAAAACCCCATTTTACAGCAGAGGCGCTGCTCTTCCTTTTCCCGTCGTTCCTCACACACAGAATAAGGCTCTCTCCCTTCTCCCCTTAGGCTGCCACTCTCCTCGCTCTAGCGACGTGCTCTCTTCCTCACACCTCCCCACTTACCCCTCCGGCAGCCGCAGTTGCGAAATGCCCACCCGTTCGCTCCGTGTAGACACGCTCCCTCGCCTCCCCACTGCCGCCACCCAGGTCCCATTCTTGTGTACTCTCCAGACCTTTAAAGAACAGCTCACGTACATACCTCCGCTTCTTCCACCGCAGGGTCAATCGCGGGCACCCTTATTCTAAAGAGCTATTCAGCCAAAACAAAAAGCCTGTCTCCTTGTCCTTTTCCAACGCGCGCAACATCTCGCACCCTCATTCTACCAAAGCGCACGCCTCGCACGCATCTTTTACATCGATTCTACCGTAAGCAAAGAACCCATTCCAAACATAGTACAGCACGCTGGTCAAAGGCAAAATCTTTCAACGTACCCTTCTGCGGCGCAACAACCGCCGCCATCAATCACAGCACACCTTGCGTTGTCGTTTGCAGTTTACTTTCTTCTTTCCGCCTTTACTCCTTTCCGTCCATCTCCGTTCCTTCCGTCTCCCTGGAGCAAGAACGCCGCCCCTCGTGGTGGCAATGCGCTGACACGCCCCGCCCTCCGCAGGACGACGTGAAGACGCTGTGCCTGCACGTGGTGGACCGCTACGGCAAGGTGCTGGACAAGGTGGACTACGTGCAGACGTTCAAGTCGCTACGGCTGCGTTACGAGCAGCACCAGGAGCGGCTGAAGGAGCGGCCCTCCCTCGAGAGCATGCCCTCCATCCTGCGGGGCGGGGGCGTGGTCGGAGGGGGGCCCGTGGTGGGGACCGGACTCGGGGTGGGCGGGGCCGGCCGCTTTCGGCGGGACCCCCGTCAACTGGAGGAGGACGAGGAGATGTGGTTCAACGACGAGGAGGAAGACCTGGAGGAGCCCCCGGAGGGGCCTGGGGGCACCGCAGTGGGGGCCGGGGCGGACTCCTTCAGCCGCCGGCTGGACGCCGAGTTCGACCAGCTGGGCAAGATCCTCGACAAGAAGGGTGAGGTCCCGTCTTGACCAACCCTTTGTTGACAAGATATACAATAATTGCTTAAAGCATTTATTTTTTTTTTTAAGATATTATGTTTAATGACATGAAATGAAAGAAAAGAGTTAGAACAGAAGAAAATTTGTTAGGTAAACTTGCAAGTTACGGCTTTGTTGCCCGTGGGCGACACCGGGCAGGAGCCGGAAAGTTGCTTCCTTGCGTAACTTCTATGGGTTACTGTAAAATGTCGTTAAAGGAAAGCTGAAACACTTAAAAATAAAAAGATAGATATTGTATATACACGTGTAGTGGCCGCAGGTATTTTTTTATGATTTCGGACGATAACTACGGGTGCAGCATTTACAGCGAAAAAAACAGAAAAGTTTTTTTGGAAATAATTTTTTTTCACCAAAAGCTTCACTACGTGCCTTCATTAAATTGAAGTTCATACGTCTGGTAGAACAAGAAAACATTTATCGGCATTGCATAGACAGGCATGCAAGTCCTTTTCACTCGTCCATAGTAGAGCACTCATCTTGGAACCTTTCTTGGCGTCGTCGACACCGAACTTTCGCCCGGCCGCTCTTTTGAAGTTGTCTTGAACAAAGGCAACAACTTTGAATTTGAAGCCGGCCATGTAACTCTCGTGCTTCCCCATCCAGAAACCTGAAGTGGATGACAACGGGAAACCGAGATTGTTCGAGTTAAAGCGAGAGGCTCAAAAAGACAGGATAGAGTGCCTCGGTGTCGTTGGCTGCCACAGCCCAGTGCGTGCCATCTGCCGGCAGTACTTGAAAAACCAAAAAGAAACAAAATTGCAATGAAACGGGACCCACTTTTTCGAGGTCGCGAGTACTGAGAACATTATAAAGTAATTTAACATGTATAGCTGCAACGGAAAACTTTCACCCTTTCCACTCTGGTGAAGAAGGAAGACCAGCGGAGCTGTACAATGGAAAGTGATGGCTTGTCGCCGTCACTCATAGATGGCGTTAGGTGTCCAGAGTTCAGTGTCCTTATTTCTTTGCGGGACGTACGATCCTGGGGAAACTAGCCCCTAACAGCTCCGCTGTAAAAAAGCTTCTCGAGTTTTTGCACTATGGACTAGATGACGATTCAGCCATTCTAAAATAGTAGGTGCGGGTTGTACGCGGGTAATTTCTAAATATATTTTTTTGGGGGCTTTTTTTCTTTTAAGGTTAGGGGTGCGGCTATTACACGAGTGCGGCCATTACACGCATATGTACGGTAGAGGTTGATTCTTGCATAGTTTTATCCTGTGAATCTGAATATCGAATTAGTTTTCCCCGAAGATGTAACTACAGTGCAACCCACTTATAACGATAATGAGCAAACCCGAAATTTCAATTCTTATAACCAATTATTGTTTTATCTGGACTAGAAACTGATCATTTCCAGTCTAGGAACCCTAGAAACTGATCGTTATTAGCGGTATATCGTTGTATCTGGTATCGTTATAAGTGGATTGCACTTCAAAGCCGAGAAGACACGAAAAACCTTCGATCGGTCGTGACGTCTTAAGAGGATCTTTCGGCCGCCGAGTGCGTGTCGCTCGAGGGCCGCACGTGCAATCACAAGCTTGCCCGGTGTATTCCTCTGCACTGGCACCAGTCGTGACGTCTTTTTCTGCCTTTTTAAATATAGCAAGAGTGCATGTGCATGGCTTTGATGGGCACCGAAGATGTGCGAGAGCGGAGACTCCGAAAACTCCGTTTGTGACGTCACACTCCGAGAAGGGGGTCCTTCAGCGGTACTTCGAAAATGATTTTCTGCAGCTTCCTGGAGGTCAAATAACGATTTGAGTGTGTTTCTTGAAATACAAAACAGCTTCAGCTTCCTTTTTATATCTGCGCATACAATCGCCTTGAGCAAAACGATCACCTATCGTAAAATATAAGTGGCGAGAGAAAAACAGTTATTCGTGCTTTTCACCATCCCACCATTCTCTGTTGCCGCATATTTGCGCATCAAACTTCTTTTTTTCGTGAACTATTTGCGTATCTTTTTGCCAAATGTTGCTGTAGTTTCGATCTTCAAAACTTGCCAGGCTTCTAGAATTTTTTTAAAATGTGCTAAAACTGAAACATTTAAACAAAAAAAACAAAAAAAAATGATTATACCGTGCGTTGCCCGAAGGCAACATTCGTCAATAAATAACGGGTTAACCGTCCTGGACGAGTTTGCGCGCTCGTGCACCTTGGACAACCCAGGCTCGATCGTAGCTCAGTTTGCGGCACTGCCAACAAACGGCAGCGCCGATTTTTTTAAATGTTGCTTCTATTATGTTTGTACCTAGAAATTTGATTTTGAAGGCATTCATGAAGTAATTGAGGGTGAGAAATTCCCAGAAATTAAAAACAGTTAAGGAGTTAATGCAGAAATCATGCCTACCAAACTAACTCTGATTTAACCTTGAAAAGTGAAGTGTGTCGTGCACGCGCATTCTACGCATCTGTGAAAGAAAAAGAAAATAACTAAAAGAGGCAAGAGAGAGCACTTGGAATGTCTTCGAGAAGGCTTCGCCAGCTGCTGAAGTTTCACAAAAAAAAAAAAAAAAACTATAGAGAGAGGACGTAACAATAGTAGACATGGCATCACGTGCCTCTAAGGTTGAGGCTGAAGTTAGCGTCTGCTGCATTCCTCATGAAACACAATTCTGCATATGACAGTTTAATAACTAAATGTAAAAAAAAAAAACTTTTTTTTCTTTTTTTTCTTAACAAGGGTAGGGTTTATTTTGCATCTGGGCTCACGCTGCTACGTAACCTCAAGACAGTGAGCGGGGCTGATGAAAAGAAATGAGAAAGAAATTTGCTTTGGCCCATTCCTTCAATTTACCGTAGAACTTTGGCTTCTCATTGCGCAATTTTGCGTGGCTCGTTTTTCTGGAGCAGCAAGAGTTGACCGTGTGTGGACATGCGCATGTTTGTGCAGCGCAAGAGCGGGAGGGCAAGGAGAACGTGCGGACGCTGAACCGGTCAGGCTCCCCCGTGCTGAACAACAGCGCGGGTCGGAGAAGCCCCTCCAACCCCGCGGGAGGCCCGCTGAGCCCCACCACCGTGGTGGAGGTCAAGTCCCCCACGGGGTCCCTCCCCAGAAAGGTACGGCCGCGGCGCTCTGTTGGGACTACCTGTGCTCCATTTTGTCATTTGTGGGTTTTAGTCTATCCTTTTGAGCTCCGATAACGGCGCAATGCACGCAGAAAGGTTCTGACAAGGTGTTGAGTATCATACTTGGAACGACGTACTACGAGTTTCTAATGTGGGAACGTAAATTCTGGTACGACCTTTGTCGTAAAGACGAGCATGGCGAAGTACGGGTATAATGGAGTAAAATTAAAGAAATGCTCGTGTTAATGATACAAGCATCTAAACTACTGATGTAGTTAACAGTTTCTCTGAGAAGACTCACTTTATTATGAAAACATTCTGCTATGTTCATTATTTTTTCGGTAGCTGTGCTAAAGTAGTTTAGCTAATTTCTTTCTCTCTGGACTGATTTGAGATGCTTTTGTGTGCATTTAAAACCATCTATTCAAAATTTATCAAAACGTATGTGTTTTAAATGCTGAAAGTGAAAGGGGCGGCAGCGGGGGCGTGGCAACGTGGAAGAGTTCTATGCATGCGCCGTTTCAGAGGGTCCTAAAACACACCGTCGGCAACATAAGACAACCACAGCACCGGGAGGGAGTAAGAGACAGCGCTTTCCCTTCTGCTCGCCGGATTGTGAAATGCCTCGCCGTTTTCGCGTTGCATCCTTGCTCCGCTCATCCCATCATTGTATCGTTTACCCTTGCTCTCTTCTGCGCGCCACTTTCTCCAACTAGTTGCTTCCCCAAGGATTGAGCATGCCACTGGTTACTCGCGCCTTTACCGCACAATTTTACGGTTTCGTTTCAATTTGTTTTGATGGTTTTTGCTTCGACAAAGTATAGCAGATTATTAGCCTAGACATCTAAAACCTCCGCTTGTCTTTATTGCGTGCGGCCAATCACTGTATCCAAAATTATAGTTTTTTTTTTCGAATGATACGACGATTTTGCGCGGTCCCTCAAAAGTCGTAGAATCGGGGTTCGACTGTATAAGGACGACCGTTTTCATCTGTGCTTGCGCCTTGAACACAGTAGAGAGTTGTCGAGGCTGATACTCGCCCAGGTGGAACCAAATGGAACGTTAGCTCGGTTTCTCGGCAGGTCGTTCTAAAGATCCGGAGCTTCCGCTGAGAGGTACAATTCTGCGGGGTTCAACTTAAGCCCTTTCCTCCAACACTTGTGAACTTGCGAGCGCTGCGGGAAGACGTCTAACGAAAAGCGACCGAAGTTGGCTGCGAGTAGGCAACTCAATGTAACTCGCAGGGCGGCCTGGTGGACTACCCCGACGAGGACTCCGACGAGGAGGAAGAGGAGGAGGAGGGCTCGGCGGCCATCTCCTCTCCCAAGCGGCCGAGGCTGTCCTCTTAGCGCCTCCTCCGTTCGGCCTCTGCTCCCGCCCCTCTCGCATCTCACCACGAACATTGACCAACCATCGTCTCCGGCCCCGCCCCGCCGGAAGCCTCGCGGCGGACCGCAAAGACGGCCGCCCCGGCTGGGGGGCACGAGGAGATAACCACCCGACGGAACACTACCGGAAACAGCACTGCCTCTCACCGCCTCCCCCAAACCCCTCCCTCCCCACTTTCCCGCGCGTCCCCTCCACCCTCTTCAAGGAAGAGGGAACGATCTCCTACGCCCTTCTCTCCTCGCTCTGCTCTCTCGCCCCCTCCCATTCCCCCCTCCCCTCCCTTGTACATAGTTATACATATTGATAGTTATACATATGTATACATACATGAAACGTACTTGCAGCATACATATTGCAAATTTATACATATATATATGTATATGCCGTACCATCATCGGACGACGACGACGACGCTCTTCTGTGTGTGCTAGCAGCCAAGCCCAAAAGCGTGGTGGCACCTAGAGGGGGGAGGGTACAAGGGTGTGTGTGCATGGGGTGCAAGAAAAGGAGGCCGGGATTTCGACAGCATGTCACTCAAGTCCTTCTTTTTCTTTTTTTTTTTATCGTAACTTTGGTTACGTTTTTTTTTGTTGGAGTCCTCTTTTTTTCTTTTAAGAAAAAGGAGGGGGGGTAGGCAGAGGGGCCAGTTGCCGTCAGGAAGTGTCAAAAAAAGATGTTAAAAAAAGATCTCTGTCGACAAGACAGAAGATGGGACCTGTGGTCTCTGCGACGAATTGCCGACAGTAACAACAATGCGGAAGCGACGAATGCAACGCCCTTGCCCGTTCTTTCATTCTGGTCTGTTTTCATTCCATCACTTTGCTGCTTTTTTTTTTTTTTCTCTCTTCTGGGGTTTGTCATTATTTGTCCCCTTCCTCCCTTACTTCCACTTCCCTGCCCGTCTTTTATTGTAATTACTCGCGACAGAGAGGCGGGGACTCGGACAGATTGTGTGTGTGCAGCGTCTCGAGTGCGTCGCGCAAAGTGAAGCGGCACCGTTTTCTCGAGGACCTCCAAAGTGCAAATGGGACACAAGGACAAACGAAGCAACGGAACGGCCGCATCCGTAAACCACGGGAACGTTTTTCACGGCGGCTTTTCCCCTGACGAGTCGCCGCAACGGTGCAAAGGTGAACCTGTGCGCATAGAAACGGCGACGCCGGAAAAAAAAAGAACAGCCAACGACCAGCGTTACTGCGTTGGTCCCCCTCTTTCTCTTTCCTTCTCGCCTTTTTTTTTCTCCCTTCCAAAGAATACAGTTTTTTGCTGCAGAGGTAGGGCTATTGTGTCCGTAGAGTATATTCTTTCCTGGTGTTGTTTTCTTTTTATTAAAAATAAAAACAAGTTGTTTCAGCTGTGAAGCAGTCGGCGTTTGGGTGCATTGCTTCGTCGTGCGACGGGCCCTCGAGCGGTTCTTCTTGAGCGAAGTCTCGAGACAAACTGTTCGAGAAATCCTGGAAAAGCAGTGACTGCACCAAGTAGGCTGCACTTCAGGGCGACGCCACCCCAGCCATCTTGGTGCCTGAAATCATTGCCAGATGTCTGAAATTCGGGGAAATAGTTTTTTTGTTTTCCAGAAATGTTCAAACAATATGCGGCAAAGCAAGACAATATCACCGAAGCCTCCTGACACTAGCTCAGAAAGTCGTATTTTCTAATCGTAACAATAGCCAATTGCACCCGCCCTACACCGAGCACCAAAATGGCGGCATCCACAAGATGGGGAGGCATGGATCGCAGATACTGGAAGCTTAGCTCAAAGTGGTTTTAGTGTTGCCTTCCCCGGATTGAGCAACTTCAGCCTCGAGTTGTGCACAAGCTTGCAGCTGCTGCAAGCCGTCGCCACTCTTCATCGCAGAACTCGTACAACAAGTACTTTTAAGAAACTGCATTGACTTTTTTGTTTGTAGTAAGACTATAACGGAAGATTTACCTTTTGCAGTCAAACCTGCCCTTAATGTTTCTAATGAAAGGTCCATGAGGAGGCCTGAAACATCCCTCTGGCTTGAGCTATACCTGGCCACTTTTCACGTGAAACATTCTTTGGCGAGGTGTTCGGCATTTCGTGAAGCCTGGATAAAAGCTTGGCTGCAAGCCTCTACACCGATTGGTTGACGGATGAGAGAAAAGGAGTGAGGTGGTGAACGCCGATTTAACGGGGAGGTCGTGTGACGAGGTGGAAGAGGAGAAGTGGGTTAGAAGTTTCTGAAAGATCACCAGGTTATTTCAAGTGTACACATGCCATGCGTTAAATTATCCGATGAAGGGCGCCGTGAACGTAGGCGCCTGGCTGAACAGTAGTGCTGCTAAACAATGGTGTAGACTTATGTGTTGCTAGAATGTTTCACTTTAGGGGAAACACTACACCGGAAGGCTAACTTTTGAACCGTTTGTCTTATTTGCATGAAATTTGCAGGGTGTACTCGTAGCGCTGGACAAGGATGCTGTGGAAATTTTCAACCCTATAAATTTATCCCACGATGAGCTACATAAAAGTTCATAATAAAAAAGTGTGCTGAGGAAAGCTATCCTTTAGAAAGGGTTATGAAAATGGCCAGTTTTTTTTGCTGGAACATACAGCAGAATACTTGCTTCAGACGACTATTGGGGAGGAGGACAGACCGTGACGCCCCAAGTGGTTAACTTTAGAACTACACGGATGGGGACAACAAATACAATAGCTCGGTGCTCGGCCGACATAACGGAACGCGGCGTCGGCGTTCGGCTGAAGTTTGTGTTCTCCGGTGAGGGGCTCTTTTGTTTCCACTACGGCCTTCATGAACAATGCAGCATGCACGGTCCCAGCTCAGCACAAAAGCTGAAGTGGGTCAAGCTTGCTTTCTCTGGGGTTAGATCCGGCACTTAACGTCCCTTCGTCGATTGTTAGTATTTTGTACATTAAACTGTGCCCAGCGCTCTATTGTAGAAGATGACATGGACATGCCCATAAGGCCTGTCGGCATGTGCACAGGCCTTGTGTTGAGTAAACACCGAGCGTGGGGAAAACAAACGGGTCAGAGTGCCCCCTATAGTTCGATCTCCTGCCCAATAAAAAGAAATTTCAAAAATTCTAAAATTCACGAAAAAAAAAATATGGAAAGTTTTTTTTTGTACATTTGTACACAAGAAATATAAACTTTTCATGACAAAAAAAGCATAAAAATGCAGAAAGTAAGTTCACAGTTGTGTTCTCCAGAAAATTTCAATATAGCAAAACCAAAATATATCTGCACGCATAATTTGATAATGAAATGATAGCTTCCCTGAGCTGATATTTGACAATAAAAAGTGAAGCTGAGATAAACGCGTTTGAAGTTTCGTGATGATGTTTTAAAAAATTATTTTTGAGTCTTAAACGTCAGAAATTCTTTCCACCAATGTAGGTGATGTCTTCCTCAAACTTCTGATATACTGACATTGCTTTCAGCTATTTTCATTTGTGGATGACAAGTGCTACACAGTGCAGCACACCTCACCACCATATAAAGAATAATTATTTTTGACATTGTTTGTTTGTCAGTGCACATTGACGAGACTTTGTGAGAGTGTTCTTTGTTATCCATACATGCCAAAACTTTGCAGTTCTGAATATGCATTTTTTTTTTTTAAAAAGGGTCAATTCAAGGTAGTGTCCCCCCTTATGTAACACAATGCCTACCAATTCAACATACTTTTGTTTTAAATTGTTTAGAAAGCTCCAGTGCTTGAAGTCATTTATCGTAAATTCAGAAAAATTTTGCAAGTGTGAGATAGTCTTGCCCTTTTGATGCATCCCTCAGTTCAGTCATGTGTGAAGTCTGGAATTCATCTGGATTCACCACAAGATGGTGTCGTTCTTAGTCACGAGGATGGATGGCAAGATGTTTATTTGTTCGGGAAAGCGGCGTCTAGTAGCTTATGCAGGAGCAGTCCTTGAGAGCTCTGGAATTGAAATGGATGGATGTTGGTTCCTTGCCAAAGCCTTTAGTCAATTCGTTGACTTGCCTGTCGTGGCTTGGAGTGGCATTCCAGTACAGGTGCACTTCTTTTGACAACATTCACAACAGGAATTCAAAGTTTTCTCGTTAACTTGGATTTGTTGCTGGAAGCAATAGGCTGCAGCTGGTGCTTATGAATCTGAAATGGACAAAAAATTGCTTGTAGTAGCCATCACCAGCTGTCACTTCTAGCAACAACAAAAAAATTGAGAGGACACCTAAGCACTTTGTACGAGTTGTGAGCGCGAAAGCATGAATGTCGTTCCGCTCCCTTAGTTTGTCTGCGGTGAACTGGCGTGGACAGCCACGTTTTGCTACTGTTGAGGTTGTGGCCACCGACGATATAGATGCCTCGGGCGCTGCCTGATGCGAGAGCGGTAGCAGAGCGCGCGCTGTCATGAAGCAGGCGCCAATGGTTATCTAGGAGCTGTTTTGCTCGGCCAACGAAAGAAGGGACATTTCTTTCACATTTTTTGCGGTTACAGATTCCGCTCCAAGAAATAGTTTATGTTTTCGCATTTAAGAAAAGGGTTAATTGTGCTGGGAGTTTCATTAGTTACATGCTTGCACGGCATTGAAGACAAGCTGTTACAGAAGTAAGATTTCAAAGGAAAATAATCCGGTGATCCAATTACTGCAAATTATATTGGACTGGTAGGCTTCATCTCGTGAAATTTCCGAAGTGACGCCTTTTTTGAACATAGACAATTCGAGCCGTTTTGCTCAGAGAATGGGAGCCACAAACTCTATTAATTGTGTGTCAAATTTATTGGTTATAAATTGTGCACTATATATCTACTATATATTTTATTTTTTTTGCTAAATACAAAATTTAGATTGCTTTGGGATATAAATTGGTTCAAGTACTGTCCTGTCCTCAACTCCCAAAACAAATTGTTTTGATAGAACATGTACTTCACAAAAAAACTTTCCCTGGAAAAAAAAAAATTATAAGGGTGTTCATAAACGCTATTTGGGTGTAAAAAAAAATTGTATGAGTCGATAAATGGAGTGCAATGAAACTTTTTACAAAAGAGTTTTTGAGCGGTGGATTTATCTCACTAAAATTGCAGAACTGTTTAAGGGCCACTGAAAAGAATAAAGTTTATTTTTAAACAGACTGAATGAGACATGCGTGTCAAAAAATAAATTTTACACTAAAAAAAAAAAAAAAGCTATATTTAGTCGCCTCTTTTTCACTTGTTTTCTCGGCGTTTTTGGCACGTGCAGGAGAGCTGGATCGGCTTGGCCGTCGAGTTTAGGTGGAGAGAGTGTATGACCATCTCGTTTATGTGGAAAGAGTATGACCATTCCGTGACGTCGTTAAGTTTGCGCGCAGAGTTGGAAATAAATCTCGCGCCGTCAATATTCCTCTAAAATTATTCCCGACACTTGTGTCCCGACCAGACTGTTTAAAAAAAAAAACATTTATTTTTCTTTTCAGTGGCTCTTTAAAAAAAAAAAAATGCCAGGCTGTGTTTTGGTTTTTTTTATGCAGAGTTGGGTAAAGGGCAAAAATTATGCAGTTTATCTCCCTTTTCGGATAGTGCAACATGAGGCAAAAACATGAAAGCTTCTTTGAAATGAATACCCGGCAAAAGCAGATTCAAGTGTGTGTAGCAGGCACTGTTTTTACAGTTTTCCTCCCTGTGCACAGAAGAAGAAAAAAAAAAGGGTTTTTCCAAGCTTAAACATTGTTTCCTGAAACCCACGCCTTAAAACGTGCCTGGCGCTCGACAACGCCCCGTGTATACGAGCACAATATTTGTCGCAACTCGATTCAGCAATTTTGAATATATGCTTCCATTTTGCAGTCGACGTCTCAGAATGGAAGCACGTTTCTGAATCCCAACTCAAAATGAGTCTTGCGGCATTACTATTGCGCCAATTCTTTTTTTTTTTTTTTTCTTTGTTTGGAAAGGGGGGGGGGGGGGGGGCAAGTTTATTTTGTAACAGGTCCTATCCAAGCACTAAAAAAAATGGGGGGGGGGGGGGGGGGGGGGGGGGGGGAGTTTGGTGACCCTTAATCTCACCTATGACCTCCGCCTTCAGCCGAGCGGCAAGCGACTTGCGGAAGGCCAGGTTTCCGGAGTCGTCGTTGGGTGCCTCCAGGGCAACGTCGCCCTGGAGAGCCGCCCTGGCCGCGCGAGACGAACGCGGCCGCTGGACGGTGTCCTGTTCCAGCGTGGAGCTCAGCTGCTTCTCGCGTTCGGCACGCTTCAATGCCACCAGCTTGTCCCGCTGGCTGCGCAGGTACTCCCTCCGCTGATTCACCTCCTCGCTGCTCACCGGCTGGTGTCGCGTTGCCAAGTCCTCCTGTCGACGGCGACAAAAGCTGCGTAGTCTCGGTGGCCTGTACCGTTCTCGGTAATGCCGCAACCATACTTCGGGACACTTGGGCAGAAGAGAAGGCCAAAACTGAATGCCTTATTTCACTAGGGCATGTTAACTAGTGGGCACCAGCATTTACCATCCCGAGTTTATTTTGCATATGTGCGCATGACAGCTGATTGCGTGATATTATGCTTATGGTAAGTGTTTTAAGGTTACCCTGTGTCCTCGCAAGCGGTCGCACTTTGGGCTTTCAGTGTTTCTTCCAAGCATGCACACGCATGCAGTGGAGGCATCGTTTGGGACAACGAGCTTGTAGCTTCGGCTTCACTCGCACATAGCTAGATGAGCTATAGTTTTTGCGTCAGTTTAGTGGCAGTAATGCGCTTGCCTCAACCGCGTCCCCATTTCGCAAAGTGCTGTCCAAACACTAGCATCTAATCTGCTTTTTTTGTTAATTTTCAGCGTTATTTTATCACTAACTCTCTGTCGCTGCTCCTTGTAAGTCACATTACCGCAAATTCATTCGCAAGTACAAGAGAGCTGACTATGCATCTATCAACTCTTAGCTCGAAGATTTTTGTCAATGAAAACCGGACTCTCTACAAAGATAAACTGGTCTATCTCATCAAACGCTTCATTCCACTGACCCACATTATATCTGATAACAGTAACCCTTGGTGCTATAAAACAATTCACAGTCAATCCATTAGGAAAAAAAAGAATGCGTGGGCTAAGGCTGTTAACACTCCGGCTTGTTGGGAAGCCTATTACAAATGCGCAAGGGCTTACAAATCCGCCATTACGGTAGTTATGTTAAATTCAAATTCTATAGTTCCGACTTCCCCAAGTTCTAACCATCAAACCAAAAAAGTTTTGGAAAATAATCAATCCGGCACCATCACTTCCCTTGCAATTTGCAGATAACGACGGGCTTCCGCTTTCAGATGAACACGGCGCTCTTGCTATTATCAATTTTTTCTGCTCCATCTTTTCTAACGAAAACTTGCTAGACATTCCCGACTCGCGCCAATCCTTTCACCCTCTTATGGATCCTATCTTAATTGACCGCTCTGGAGTACTTGGGGCGATTGATCAACTGAAGGTGTCCTCCAGCTCCAAGGATGAGCAAATTAAACTATTAATAAACACTAAACATATATCTTCCGCCAGGAATGGACAAAATACATGCAGATATGTATCAAAATACAAATACAAAATACTTTGTCAAAAATGTATTTAATTACAAATCTAATTACATTTCCAAAAAAGCATTTAAATACAAGATAAAAATACAACCAAATGTATTTGGTCTCCTCCAAGTACTTTTCCAAATACATTCCTCAAAATTTGCGTCGGCGACTTCAGGGCACTGGCAACGGGTTTCTGGGTATCTCATTTTAATTTTGCATCGCACACTCGGGAGTTAATGTGCGAGGCTCTAGTAACGTAATAAAAATATAATCACCAAAGAATGTAATCAGCTTGGACGTAATAGGTAAAAAAAGTACAGAGCTTCAAGCAGCTTTTTTTTTTGTCAATTACATTTTGGTATAAACCAACAAAGAGAACCAAGACGACCAAGACGCGCAGCACTAGCTAGAGAATATTTTAATGTTGCAACTCGCACCAGTTACGAAAATCTGGACAAGCCGCGCATTTAGAATGTTCCAGGCAAAAATATGGATGGAAATCAAGCTGTAAAGCATCACAAGTTGTCACAGGCACTCAATTATTTAGGCAGTCTGTCTGTGAACGTCGATTTCGTCAATGTTTTTGCTTTGGACTAGCTCCGTAATCACAAAGTTACTCAACGCTTGTGCTTGATTGGGAGACACTGCATTCAGTGCAGAACGTAGTTTTCTTTGTGCTCTGGACAGTGAAAATAAATTTGAGGGATGTATTTTTTGCCCACAAAATTGTATTTAATTACAATTGTATTTGAAATACCCACATTTTAGTATTTAAATACACACGTCAAATACATTACCTAATTTGTAATTAAATACAAATGCAAAATACACAAAGTGTTTGAAATACGTATTTTAAATACTTGTATTTGAAATACTGCCCATCCCTGTCTTCCGCCTTCCTCTGCGACATATTCTCTCAGTCTCTTAAACTCTCTGAAGTTCCATCTGATTGGAAAATCGCTAACATCATACCCGTTTATAAAACAGGCAACCGCCACCTAATCGGTAACTATCGTCCTATCACTCACCAGTGTTTCATCTAACGTCGGGGAGCATATTCTCTATTCAAACAATAAATTTTCTAGACTCTCGTAACTTCGTCATACTCGTGCGAAACTCAACTAACAGCATTTCTAACTGATGTCTACTCGAATTCCAATTCCAATGTTCAAACTGAAGTCATCTTTATTGACTTCTCCTAAGCATTTGACAAGGCCCCTCATCAATGTCTTCTAATGAAACAGATATTAACATTCACCCCCCTGTGGTCAAATGAATTTCTGAATTCCTCACTAATCGCACTCGGTATGCTGCTATTAACAAAGAAAAATCTACCACAGGTATGGTAACATCTGGCATCCTTCAGGGAACAGTTCTTGGTCCCCTTCTCTTTGTAATCTAAATTAATGATCTCCACCATGACATTTCTTCTGCAGTGTTTGTTCACTGACGACTGTGTCATATACAGACCGATTCATTCACATCACGATCAACTAATCTTGCAGAATGATCTTTCACTTATAATTCAGTGGTGTCCGAAACGGCAAATGGAATTAAACTATAATAAATGTTAATCTTGATTGTTTCCTCGGACAATGTTTGCTATTGCCTCCCCACCACACTATTCCTTGTTTCGACCATTCTCGTAAACTCCGTCCAATTTCAACGTCAGCCGGCGCACCTTACCTTTGGCCATTGATGACTGGAACGCACTACCTGATCCAACTGTTTCCATAACTGACACTAATATAAATTCGCTGAAGCCATTACCCTATTTCTTTCTAACCTACCATAACTAGATTAAGCGTTTTTGTTATTTTTTTTATGTGTTCCCTTTTTTGTATAATGCCCCTGGGTCCTAAAAAAATGATGATGAAATAGAAAGCATTGCAAACCAGTAACTTGGCAGAGGGGAACGTTTATAAGCAGGGTGGTTGTGTGGCATGAAAAGATAGCATACAAAATGTTTGGTAAATGCGGTAATTTGTCAGCGACTCTTGTCTTATGGCACACATGTTGCAACCTTCAAGCTCCAGTCGGTCTATGAAAGAATAGAGCGATAGACCACGTGCCTCAACGATTGAGGGGCGATGTTCCGTCAATTGGCCCGCCAACACTTTGGGTTCCGGATCCTCTGGCGTGTCGGCTGCAGCGGGTTCTTTGAGAGATAATTTTAGTGCCTGGAATGAATACATTAATAAACCTGATTGTGATAATCTTATTAATTTCTTTTTTTTAGATATTTTGACATTTTTGTTTTGTTCTGTGAAGGCAATTTACCGTATAATTTGCAGGGTGAAATTCTTTTTTTTTAACTAACTGGGAAGTTTAGTAGGAAAAATAACTGCTAACACATTTCTTTGCGAGTGCATATATGAGGATAACTCGTGATTCCAACTGCCAGATATTACTAGACGCTTCAACAATTTTGCATGCATCTCCTCTAAAAAAAACTTTTTTCTCTGATATTGGGATGTTATTACGATGGTTTTATAATGTAAATACCATTCAGTAAAACTATATGATAGCACAATGCCTAAAAAAAGGAAGCTAGAAAACCTATTGGCTATACTCGTTTCTTGGACAAAAATGGCACAGGATCAAACTGATACCCTTGATTTGAAAAGCCATCTTTCAATACCAGTTCACCTCCCCCAAAATTTCGTGCTAGTAGCGTGATGCGCTTTTCATGTTATGGTAGTAGCAGGAGGTGACAGTTTCCATGTCATGTTTTGAGATGTCAACTGCACCTTGTCTAGCAGTTCCTTCTCTTTGGATTTCTCAACTTCCAGCCTCTGCTTCTCCACCAGGGTGGCTTGGATCGCCTCTTCAATAAGCTTTTCTTCCATACTCTCGCTCTCCTTTGCTGCAGCCATGTCTTCCAACGATTTTCTGCAAAACAGTTTTTTTTTTTTTTTAAGAAAGGCGACTTTTCTTTTGTTGCAGTATTACTGTAACCAAAGACCTGAACAAGATATATGCAAGTCATCCTACTACAACCAGTGCAGACAAGGCTGATATATAACCCTTGCTTGCCTTGTGCGGTGCAGTGACTCTAAAGTGAGCTTTACAGCATGACTGTGTTGCATTGCACCAAAACCAGACTGACTTCTGCTGTCGTCCCTGGTATTGCAGTAAATTTAGTAATTTATTTTTAGTAAATCTCAGCAAACTAATTGTAGCATTTAGTATTCTAGTATTTTTATAATTAGTTAATTTCTGACAAAGTAAATGGGTAACAGGTGCATTAACGTAATGGTCATTGAACCCTGCACCATTTCATTAATCCCAAGAGAAGATGTCATTGTCAAACATATTGTGCTTTAATGCATGTAACTAATGTCTTTGACAGTGAGCACTCCAAATACTAATATGGCTAGATTCTGCTGCGGTCCGCTGCAAGTTAAGATCAGCAGGACAACTTCCTCCTGTAACTACCGTACCGTAACTGCGACTACCTGTAAAAGCCAGCCGATCGACAACATTGTCTCACTTGATGACGTGCGCCATGAGAGCTTCCTCGTCCTCCTTGGCATTGTCATTGTCTGACTTTTCTTCCTGGATGTCCTCATCGGCAGCCCCTTGTGGCTCCCCCTGGAAGGCGTCGGGCACAAGGCCATAGCGTTGGGCCATAATTTCGAGGGCCTGGAGTTGCAGGTCGATGTTCTTCTGGGTCATCATGCGCTTGAAGATCTCATAATCGTCTGCTGCCCACACCTGCTCGAAGAGACCCTGGAAAAGTTGTTGACTGTCCACGTAATTCGAATGCACCTGTCTTCGTAATCGGTTCACCACTGGAACAAGCCGCAAGCAAAAAGCTAGATTCTAATGTTACGGTTTATTCTGTAATCTTAACAGAACTTTGGGTGCATGCCCATAATTTTGTCTTATGATTAAATTTCAAACTCTGTAGTGGTTGAGTAGCTTTAGTGCAATGATATAGTAGTTATACGCAGGATGGTTCATTGTCTGTTGCTTGGACAGTATGCCTCATCATCTGATATAACCACCAGAAAAGAAAAAAAGGAAACTGATTGGCTGTGTACACATCAGGCAGGCCAATCAGAATCCTAGTTTCAGTCCTGGTGCTCATAGTTCTGTGGTTCGACTCTACAATTTGTATCTGTTCCCCGGACTGCCTTTGACAGTCTGTGGTGCACTGAATATTTTTTTTTAATGAATTCCCAAGTGTTGAAATAAGCCCAGCCGGCCATTTATACCTGATGGAATTTCGCAGCGATTCCTCTGTTGGCCTTGCCACAGACTTTCTCAAATTGTTCAGGCGTGATGCCCATGTCTTCCATGTGGCTGCCTAACATGAAGTCCACCTGAGAAGTTAACAGGTATGTGAAAAATGAAAGTGAGTGAAAGGATGATATGGGGGGAGAGGGTAGGTATACCTTACCAAATTTTTGTATTCATTGTGAATTTTCTTGTATTCTTCGTTGTCTGGCCCAGGTTCAAACACTGCCGTACAAGGACATACAGTAAAGTTAATACGTCACCACTACCTTTTTTTTTTTTTTTAATTTTTGCGAATAAAGCATGTAACAGCATGCGCACTCACCAATGGACTTTTGCTCGATGAATGTAATGATGGGAATATTCCACGCCGGACCCCTCAGATAACCGACGAGAGATTCGAACACCCAAGACGTCTCGTCGTCTTCGGTTGACATTTTCCACGATGGGTTGAACTTGAACCGCAGAATACCGCAAGGTATTGTTTACAAGTAGCCCTCCCGTTGCCATAGCGACGCCTTCTTTCGTTTTTAACATGATGACCTCCGTTCGGCAGCATTTGCATTACACCAGTATGCATAATTACAATAATTAAGTAGGTTAAATTATAAATACTGAATTATAAAGTTTTTGTTTCGGGCAGTCAAATAGTCTGCCCTTCATTATTTGGTTGCAAAAATAATCCAAGCAGATGGTCATTCAGCGCGGCGCTGCTAATTAAGATGGCGGCCTCCTGTTTTGTTCGCGGGATTCGATTCCTGACACGCCCGAACACCTGCGATGTAGCAGTCTTCGATCTTAATTAATAAACTTCTGGAAGCACGGACCAGCAATATGAATCGCGCCAAACGGCAACCTATTCCAGACCGTGAAAATGATCCTAGATCGCTCTCGGCGACGTCGGACGATGCTCAAGAAGCGTGCAAGTCTTCCCGGGTCCTCTGCGAGAGCGCCAGCGGCGAACCGCTCGTGTTCTGTTCCACCAACTACGGCGAAAACCTGGGCCACGAGTACGTGTTCAAGCACAAGGCATTCAACACCAAGCGTTGGATGCTCCTGACTACGTTTTTCCTGTCTTGTTTTCTCCATTACGGGCTTCATAGGAGGGTAAGCGACTTCGAACTCACCTTTGACGAATGGTGATCTTCGTTATCTGGTGATCGTTTACGGATCTGTTAGTTAGTTTTAAAACATGTGCTTATGGCTCTCCGCCTCAAGTGCGGGATTCCTGCCTTCGATAGCGCTTCGGCGTCTCGTGAGCGTCGTGAGCTTCGAGCGTGCTCGCGCTGCCGAAGCACGACGGAAGGCACCGAGCGCGTACTGGAAGCCGAACACTCGTTCACACTCTTGCAACCGAGTACGACCGAGAGAGACAAGACCGGTTTTTAATCCCCTTACAACTTCTTAGAACCGGGCGCGCTGCTGCGGAGCTGGTCCTAAGACGTCGTAAAAGGATTAAAAACTGGTCTTGTCTCTCTCGGTCGTACTCGGTTGCAAGAGTGTGAACGAGCCTTAAAGGAGACGCCCCGACGTTCTCTAATTTCATCCTGTCGACCTCCTTTACTCCTACTCCGACGCTCCGAGTTTCATACTCTGAGCGGAGCAACTAAACGACCCATGGCGTACAGGAGTGCGACACACCGAGGCTGCGTTCCATGTCTACTCGAATGGATCCGAGCATAGCCTCCTCTAACCTGACGAAACCTGGCAGATCGCCATGAGACGCGGCCGCTGAAAGCGAAAAGGTAGAGCGGCAGACAACGGATAAAAGGAGAGTCATGTAACGGGCGCCCCGCTGCGGCGAGACGCCGAAACACACATCTCCCGAGCGATGGAACATCCGCTCGTGCTCCTCGTGTTCCTCGCGCGTCCTCGCCGCTGCGAAAGCTGTGCGCTCACTACCAGCTTCCCCGAGAAATGCTCTGTGCTACCAGATCCCCGCGCTCCAAATGTGCGACCAGGCACTCTATGGCTCCATTGTCGAACTGCCAGGCTTTGTTAGTATAGAGGAGGCTATCATCCAAGTAACCCTGGCGGGTAAGTTTTCGAACGCTAGGGTACAGAACCCTTACCCTAGAGTGAGATTAAGTAAATTTTGGAACACGGCTCGAAACTATCAATGAACCCCACGAGCTCCTTCCGACCGCATGGTTATGACGAACCCGGCTTCTCCTGGATACGGGGGGCAGAAGCCGAAATTATTTCGAAGATAAATTAATTAGGCCTGTTTGTAGCGGCAGAGTCTAAAGCAAAAGAGACTGCGACGTTATGAGGTTTCTACAAACGTTTTAATATTCCTGAAAGGTTTGAAGACTTGTTTCGGTGCACATATGTGGAAAGTTACCTTGACCAATCTATTTATTGACCATGCATGCTGTTCCGATTTAAATTAAAAGCAACGTTCTTGAACCCGCTCGTCGACGCAGGAAACCCTCAAATTTGTCAGAGATTCCATGGTAAGCTACGCTGATACCGGCACACCGTCGTTCGATAGCACGTCAATTAGTTTTTAGACGTACGGTATGCATGAACAAACCTTTTCCGCAACACTTAACTGATATGTTTCAGCTTTCCAATCAAAGTATCTTGATTTGCTGGGCTAAGTAGGGCAGCGTTCCGACTGTCTTCTCATCTCAACTTTTTTGTCGCTGAGCTGTCGGCACGCTACCGTTCGATAGATGAATTCGTTTTCAAGCAAGATGCATGACCAAACCTTTCCTGCAACGCTAACTGATGTTTCGGATTACTTTATTCGCTGCGGCTGGGCTAAGCATTCTAAGCAGAGCAGCGGTCTAACTGTCTTTTCATCGCTACTTTTCAGTCGCAGAGCTATCGGCACGCTCGTTCGATAGATCAATTCGTTTTCAGGCAAGACGCACAAAGATACCTTTTCCTCAACGCTCACTGATGTTTCGACTTTCAAATTAAAGTATTTTTATTCGCTGGGCTATGCATTATAAAAGGGGCAGAGCGGTCCGAATGTCTCCTCATCTTGACAACCTTTTTGTCGCTGTGCTGTCGGCATGCTACCGTTTGATAGGAGAATTTCTTTTTTAGGCGAGATGCATGAACAAACCTTTTTCAGAATGCTAATTGCTGTCTTGGCTTGTTTTTACTGCTGGATTAAGCACTAATCAACTGAAAAAGGGCAGCGGGGCCGGTTACACCTTTCGTCTCGACTAGAGCACTATATAGCTCCTTCAGAGCAGAGTAGCGCAATCTAGAATGCCATCTCTCGGTGACTAGCGGCGAACGCCTGGGGGTTCCAGATCCAATCACAAATCTGTGGAGAGGGTGAAAAAATCATTGTTTCCTGAATATTTTGGGGATGTATGGAAAGACAATAGTTTTTGACGTAATAAAGGAACAGTTTACAATAATATGCGCTAAATTGTGTGCCATGTAACATGGTAATTTTTTTTTTTTTTTTTTAATGTTGACTGAGCGGCATATGCAGCAGACGACGCGGCGACGTTGCACCGTTCACTTGACCCGCTCCGGCCAACCCATAAAGTCTATCTCTGCTGCATAAAACAGTTGTCTGCTTCAAACGCCATTGCTTTGGAAATTGCCTTCTCAAAATTTTCACACGCATTCAATATTATGAAAACTTTGATAAAGTGTTTAGAGCTTTACCAACTTCGTGACAGACTAGTTTTGAAAAGTGTGAACTCGGCATTTATTTTTTATTCGGCCGTGCTGCGTCGATCTCCATGTGTTCTCCCATAGGGAGGGCCACCTCGTGGAACCCTGAGTACCACGTGACTCACGCCGAGCTGCTCTGTCGGCCATGTTGTCAGCAAAACATGCAAATCAAAGGATTGCGTTACTCTGCTTTGTAGGAGCTATATAGTGCTCTAGTTTCGACGGTCTCAACCACAGCCTTTGGCCAATGATGGGGAAGTATAGGAGACAAATGAGGAGGCACCATTGGCCGAAAGCGGGCTTGGTGTGTTCTAGGGCGTTTTTACAAATTCGATTGTGGCCAACCAGGAGCCGGAAATAATACCCTGGTGGTGGTCGCAAGAAACAAAATTAATAATTGCGTCGGAGTAACCCTCGGTGACTGGAAATATGGTGCAGGTGATATTTTAACCACAGTCATCCAAAATCATTGTGGAAGAGTGCGACTAGCGGAAATATCAACATAATTCGTGCGCCAAGGGCCAGAAATCTGCCATCCGAGCGTTCGCACCCTGTCCGAGCAAAACAGAGTTCGAGCGGCACATTTGTTTCTTACGTCTTTCTGCATGATCATAATCGAAACATCGCGTGCATCCGATTTGCAACCATAAAGGGTCACTACGTTTAACTCTTACGCGTTTCTTAGAACGATTAAATCTGTTTCTCGCTACCACTGCTAGAGGATTTTTTTCGGCTTCTGGCTGGCCAAGAGAGCCCGCCAAGCCCTCTTTCTGCGTCTGTTGCACGCCCTGGCTCTGCCTGCGCCTCCCATTGACCAAACTCTCTGTATACACGGCTCTGGTCTCAACAACAGCGCAGCCATCTTGTTTGTTTACCTGACATCACGAAGCGCGAGGAAGTCACTTGCGCTTCGAGAAATTCTCAGTGCACAAAAAGGGTGCTCGAGTGCCAGTCTCTGGTGCCACTCCTGTCCGTTTAGTGAAAGGAGCGCCAAACTTTCTTGCTCTCGAGCATGGACTTAACGCGGCCAATAACTCTAGAAAAGATACACGTGCAGTCCGTGGCCGGATAAAGGGCCGCGTATGACCTTAACAAATTTATTACACTCGGGTGTTTTAACCAGCTATGATCAGTCCTTTTAACCGGTCCCAGGTTGGGTGTGCATTTATCTTAGATTGAGTGTATAGTTGAGTGTATAGAAACTATGTGAGATGTTCCTCAAACAGTGGGCTCAGTCATCAACATTATATATTCTTGCGGCGCAAGTGAGCGGGTACTCCCAAACAGTTTTTTCAAACGTCGGGGTAATATGTCGTTTGGCTCGCAGGACGTGGACTTCCTCGGCGTGTTCCTGGTCGTTCTCTTGTTGCTCTTGGTGGCCAAACTTCACCGTCGGGTCAAGGAAGGCAAGTGGGATTTTGTGTTGCGTCTTTTCTGGCGGCACAACATTATTTTTGCTAATTCAAAATGACTAGCGATGTCTAGCAAGCTTCCATCACCAAATTGGTCATCCCAGATACCAACATATTTTCTGGAGGCACAACATTCTTTTTGCTGATTCAGAATTACTAGCGAGTGCTAGCAAGCTTAGTGCATCACCAAATTGGTCATCCCAATGACGCACATGTTTGTTTTTGCTTCTGCCCCAGAATCTCTCCTGGTGATGCAGTCGTTGGGATTGCAGACGACGACCACCTTCGTCACAGGGCGGAGGGTGTCGAGATTCATCAACAAGGAGTTCATCGAAGACGTCATCATATCAGAAGCCATCACGGTGGTAAGCCTTGCCCACCTCCGTCTTCGCTGCCTTGCCAACATTCTGAGCGCGTCGCTTCATTGTCTTCTTGCAGCAGAGCGTCATTTTCTACCTGGTCGTCCTGCTTCACGACAAGGTGGGCACAAACTCTGCACCATCTTTGGTGCCTCTCTTTCACGTGAGTATCGCTCTTCAAATTGCACTATAATTGCAAGGATTGGCTGGGATAACTTGTGGCATCCACTATGGTCCATCGTATGGTGAAATGCTTCTCCTCAAGGCAGTCGTGCTTGTAGAGAAAAACAACAGATGTGCTTGCCACGTGAAGATATATTTTTCTTCTTTCATCGCATAAATATGGTATGCAGGCCGTGTTGTCTTTTAGCGTGTTGTTCTCACAAATGTTTTAGACGGCAAAGACACCAGCATTCTGGGACAGTAAGTATGGCAGAAGTGTCTTTGCAGCCATCTAATGGAGGTCAGGCTGTTTTTTGTTTTACGTTTTAGTCTCTGGTTGGACTGGCAATGCACAGCACCTAACTGCATCAAGATGTTGTAGGCAGATTGCTGATATGTCAGTGAGAATGCTTCCACACATGCCTCTGCCACAGATTACTCATGTAATGCAATGTAGATTATGCAAACTCCTGCAAAATCTAGAAAGCTGAAATGAATTTTGAGTAATGCCAAAAGCAGTGTTGGGTAAAGTACTTCTAAAAAATTCTTGAAGTAAAGTATAGAGTAAATCAGAGCTTATTTCCTTCAAGTAAGTGCAAAGTTCACAGGCCAAAATGTACTTGAAGTAAAACACTATAAATATGATGTACTTTCAAAGTAAATTACAAGTATACTTTTAATACAATCTTTCATGATGCCTTTTCATTCCTTTACACCAGTGGTTCTCAAACATTGATGTTTCGCAGACCTCTTGTGGATCGGTGAACACGATGGAGGTCCCCGTTTGTGGAGATGGGAAGGGAAAGGTGTAGGTTAATTATGATAATTTAATTAATAAATATAACTAAGGGCTAGTGTGAAGTAGACTTCTCTGAATGGCATACACGCGAGAGAACTTGCCCGAAAATTGGAATGCTTCTTCTCAATCTGCAAAAAGACAACTTCTATTGCCGGGTTTCGCAGAGCCCTTGAATGCCTTTGAGGACCCCCATTTGAGAACCATTCCCCTAAACAATGTGTGTGTGTTTTTTATTTGTGTTTTTTTTTTTAGGGCATAGCCTCCTTCATTTTGAAATGCCTGCCCAAAGGCATCAGAATTGCTGTCTGCTCTTTACTTTTCTCTCTCGCTATTTTGGCAAGTGTCTCCGCGAGGGGGCGTCACCAGCCCGGGGTGGCTGGATAGGCGCGGTGGCGTAGCATGGCTTGACGGCTTGGCTAGCTTAATAATGGGCCAAGGCATAGCAAGGCCTGCGTGATGCTGTCTTCCCGTTAAGACATTGACGTTTTCTACGTGGTTTGACACGGTGCCATGGCATACTGTTGTGTGTGGAAAGGTAAGTCCGATGCCAAGCAGAAAGTTCAAGGCGTCTAGTTTCACGAGATTCCGGGTGACAACGCGCTAAAGGAGACGTGAATGAAAGCAATCGCCAGGAAGGACTAGCTGCCAAACACGTGTCGCGGCGGTGTGTTTTTTGCAGCCGACACTTCCAGGGCACTGACTATAAGGAAGAATGCAAGACGCAGAAGCCTGCATTTTAATTTTTTCTGAAAGTAAAGTTATGGCATGAACAAACGGTTTTTCTGAGTCCTCATTGATTTCAGAATGTATCAAACTAAGTAATTTGTTAGCAGAGAATGGATGAAAAGGCATCAAAATCATCTAATGGGCTGGTTGTTGAACACTATAGAATAAAAATACCGCAAAAGATAGGGACAGAGGGCAAGCACTTGTTTTTTTCCCTCTTCTTGTCCTCTGCACTTTTTTTATCCTATAGCAAGGTTGTATGCAAGTATTTGAGAAGGGCACCTTGTGCACACCTCGGACCGGCAGCCGACATTTCGCCAAGAGGCTTGGATCAGCTGCTGTTTTAAGGTTTATTAGGGATTTTGTTCTCAGGTTCATACAGTGTGCGCGCGAGTGATCTCCACCGGGACATATTTCTGTTCCAGGTCTGAAGGGCGGAGACGTGATAAAATGCTTAAAATCATGTCCGGGATAGTCACCTAACCGAGCTAAATTAGCATTTGATACTGTTATTGCACTTTTGCATGAATATCGCAGGTTTTAAACGCATCATGAATCACTCTTTTTGAACCCGGCAGTGTGCGGCACTACGCACTGTGGCCGTGGCGCCATCTGCTCCGTCCAGGGCGGGTGGCGCCTAGTAGTGGCACGCTTTGAAACTAGCCCTGACATCGCCAAAGACTGGCGTGTTGCGCGGTTGACCGGGCATTCCAGTATAAAGGACGCTATGTTTAGGGATAATCGTGGGTGCATCAGTCATTTTCGGAAATGACAGCAAATTTTGGATAAAGTCGAGTGGCTTCAGAGTTGAAAAAACAGGGTTGAAAAAACAAATTTAACGAGACCAAATTTATTCGAAAATGGGAGTTGTACTCTCCTAGGAAAGTATCAGAAAAATTACTTTAACTTAGGTACAAGTCAAGTACATACTCAGAGAATGTACCTCAAGTAAAGTACAAGTATCCTTTAAATACAATGTACTTAAAGTACTCCCCAACACTGGCCAGAAGTATGCTTTGTTTTTTGAGCATTTTCGTTTTGTGAACATGTCAGTGTACCTTTTCCGTAATTCATTTGGCAATGGTGCACGTAATTTGGCATTTTCAGAACACTCTTCCAAGACTAAGTGCCCTGCAAGCAGTTTATCGGGGCATACAAGAAAGTGGCTGGACATGAGGAATCATCAAAAGCAATGGACATGAAAAAGGTGTCTCGCCGTATATCAGGTCATTCTTTCTTTGTCGAAGTTGTAAACTGTCTTACCTTACATATCTTAATTTATCCTTGGGATCAGAATCATCATGTGTATTCTGGTTGTGCTTCGAGTCATGGACTTAAATGTGTGTACCTGCAAGTTTGCCTGTTTAGATAAATTTGCATTAATCATTGGTTGCTTCATTTACTTCTCATTGCTGCAAATTACTTAGGATGTTGACAGAATCTTGCCAGTATTTTAGGGAAATGACTGCACCAAGTGCTGCCTTCTTTTAGCCCTCGGTTGTGTGGATGCTGTCATTAAAGTGAGCAATCGGTCACCTTTTTTTTGAAGGTTCCAATGATCTATAGTTTTCCGTGTTACTGTTTTTGCCTGTTTTAGGGCTGAAGCTTCTCTTTAGCTTATGTAAAGGCCCGTTCACACTCTTGCGACCGAGTATGACTGAGAGAGACGAGATCTCTTACAACTTCTTAAATGTTTCTAGAATGAGGGAACACACTGACATTGTGGCGCCATCTATGCGGTGACCCTAGAACTGCATTTCACAAAAGCGAAGGTTTTGCGGGATTTCCGAGGTCAAATGTGCGTAATACCCATAGAAAGGGTCGTTTATAACATTGACAAAAGCTTTTCGAGCCAAAAAAAAAAAGGATATTGCGCGAGAAATAAAAAAAAATATGCCGGACCGCCGAGTTTACACTGCTTCCCAATAGATGGCGCCAGTGTGTTCTCTGGTTTAAGAAGTTTTAAGGAACCCAGGTTTAAGAGGTCGCAAGCAGTCGCAAGAGTGTGAACGGGCCTTTACCTGACTTTAGTACCCGAGTTTTTAGGGTTTTAGTTGTTTATAGACATGCAGATATTTTTTTTGGTGCTTGTATGGTGCTTGTTTGTGTCACAAAAATGTATGATTCTGTCTTGCCTCATAGGGGTTTGTGAAACTAAAGCTTTATTTTTACCTGCTTGGGATAGCGAGCATAAAGCTTAAAATTGTATTAAATAGACAATGAATAAATAAGGCTGTATAATGTCTTCTTGTACTGTGGTGCGTTCTTGCCTTACGAAAACCACTTGGAAATGTAGCTGAACGGTGCTGACAGCATTCTGAAAAGAGGAGTAATGTTTTGTTAACATGGACATCCTCTGAAAAAGAAGTTTTTGAATGTCTTAATTTAAATTGTTCGTAGACTGTCGCTACTTACGTTTTAAGTCTGCGATAGCCTGAACAGGATTTTATGTACATTCCTTTTTTTACTGGAACAGACAGGCTGTGTTTTTGTTTTATTGATACTATATTGCATTAAAATATTTTATCCCTTCTCTAATCTTACGTTGTGCGGATGTTCATTGGGGAAACAAGCAACATTTTTACTCCACGTACTCAACATTAGTTGCCACATCATCACAATAATTATAACTATAGTTTTCGGCCTTGAGACAAATGTTAAGTTTGCGATACAGAAATGCATCAAAACTAGCATCAAGAAATGCAAATTTGGAAAACACATTTTTTTATGTGGAGCATCACACTATTTTTAAAAGACTCCCCTGTGCAAAACTTGCTGACGATTCAGGGACAAGCAATCAAATCTGGCCGAAAATGGTGGAATGTTGGACAACCAAATACTAGATGGCTGTAAGGTGTGTGATATCCCTCGTAGAGACTTTAAATACGCAATTCGGTACACTTGTACCGGTCTTTGACACGGCTATGAAAAACCTTTTGCGGAGCCTCATTGATACAATGTGACGGTCAGCTACGAGATGCCTACGATACATCTCAAGTCTTTTAGGGCCAAATGCGAAGATGTCGGCAGGACATCTTGCCAAGACATTTGTTTGAACGACTTTCCGGTAGTTCAGTGAGACACATTGACAAGAAACGAATAAGTCTGCTATTAACCTTTTGAGTGCCACGCCTGAGTATACACTCGTGCACTCTCCCGGGGTTATAGCTCCAGTGTGCTTCCTGCCGCTCCCAGCTGGGTCATAAATTTCTTTTACGTGTAACGCCACATACAAGAAAGCAAAGAAAACAATGTTTTTATCTGTGTCTCTTTTTGACGGCATATCAAATTTTTGTTCCTACGCCCTTTATGTTTTCGTATGCTCCCTCATTGTTACAGAATGGCTAATGTATGCCGTTCAGCCTTGTGCTTTGTGGTGGACGCTCAGATCTAGAAAATGCTAATAAACTTCGTACTCGGACGACTGGGAAAACAAAGTGGACGCAGTTCCAAAACAAAAAAATGATGTCGAGTAAGGCTGCTCGAAAGAATGGCCTCGAGGTGCATAGCATCATGTCTCGAAAAGTACAATGCAAGGAAAATGCTCCTAGGTTGAAAGCATGCTAAACATCAATCAACCTTTGGCCGATAGAGCAATCTGTCTTCGATAAATAAATTTTCTTCACAAAGCATGCTACAGTGCACAAAGCAAGTCATAAGGCGGGAATCGGGGGAGCATTTTTTTTTGGCCGCAGTAAATGCACTTGTTTGGAGACGCGTACCAAGCACCGTACTCGAAGGGTTAAACAGACGATGGATCCAAGTACCTTCCCACGAAGCCGAGAAGACCGCGGCTGGGTCCATTCCCGCCGTGTGGTGGAAACTCGGTGAACTTGACGGCGCCAACGGGGTTTGGCGCCATCGCGAGGGCGCTCCCATCCAGGATGATGATGGTGCTGTGGTTGCCAGCCCCCTCGGAGGCTGAGAGTCTGTTGATCTTTCGGCAGACTACATCTGGCACGTTGTGGCTTGTGATGGTGAATCTCTGTTCGACGTCGCTCCGTCTCTGCTCGAAAGTACACGTGCCTGGTTTTGGATCCGGTTTTCGTCACGACTATCGAGCACTGTTTCTGGTGTCCCTTCGATGCTGTAAAATGCCTAGTTTCGGCGAGCTCCCTAGAGTCGGCCGTTTCGTGGATTCGCGAGTCACGAAACTTCTGGTTACAACCGGAAGCTCGAAGTTCTCTGGAAGTCAGAATCTTCGTGGGCCACAAAGACACTGATTGCTGCCAACTTGTGGGGAAACCACTTGGGGGAAGTCATGCAAATAAAACAACTTTGCTGTTCTTAAGGAATTCTCATTGCTTTCCCAGATTAACAATTAGTCTCAGGTGGCTATTCCTTCCTCTTAGCTCTCCATCTTAAAGCGTTAGCTCATTCGGTAAACTCTAATCGAGAGATGGTTTGCAAACTTTACAAGCCTTACGAGATGTTTGGGCCATGCAAGTTAAACTTAGTGTAAATCGAAGCAGTCTGCTAGATTTTTCAGGTTCAACTGGACCTACAAGAAGTAGTATTCATTTGCTTTTACTTCGCGATTCAGCTCATGCCGGCAGTGAGTGTTTACCAGATTCATTTTGATACCTTCGAAATTGCTGCTCTCAGCAGGCGACAATTTTCTTTACCCATTACTTGACCCGATGACAACTGAACACACCAGCCGTGTTCCAAAATTTAATTTATTTACTCCAGGGTAATGGTTTTGTACCTTGGCTTGCCAAAGCCTACCCACGTCCAGCATTTCTCAGTCTGTGTTGTCACGTGAATCTGATGCATTTGGGTAAGATTTGGAACACAGCCCCATGTACATGGCTCGCGCGTGACGTCATCGTTCCATGCTGGTGGTCATACCCACTTGTTCTTGCCGGTAAAAACAAGTTCGGTGGAGCGAAATGTTTGCTGCGGTAGGTATGTGCTTGGCAGCAGGGCCACCACAATTGCAGCTGCCTTTATGTCTGTGCAAGCTATGTGTATATACAGCCCCGGGCACCGGTGCATGTAGGTCGTCTGATGGTTAAGCTCTGCTAATGCATGCCCAGAGTTGCCAGATTGGTGTCTTTTAACAAAGCATGCTTTCCACCCGCAATGGTCGGACTAGGTTTTGAAGCATGGTTACTTCCAAACATTCGTACGCCGTGCTGTGCACTTACGAGCCTCCTGATGCACTCTTGTACCGCAAAGGGCAGCTCGAGCTCTTCGTCTGTTCTCTGCCTCTTCGGAACTAGGGAAAGGCACTGGCTCGGTGTGTCCCAGTGTTTCCTCGCAGATCTCTTGGTTCTTTGGGGCGTGGGCTCAAGGGCACCATCGCTCGAGGAGCTGTCTGCGTTGCACGTTTCTTTTTGTCAGTTTCGGTCTTGCGCATGTCTGACAAGTAGCCAGCTAATACACTTACCTGCGCTGTAGCTCACTTTTGGTGGCTTTGTCCACTTTTTGTATAAATGGAGGCCAAACTGCAGGTGGTGCAGCTTGTATGTCTGGTTCCCTCTCTGGAAATGCATCTGCTGGTTCAGCCTCCAGGGGCTAGGGTCTTGAGGTGTGTTGGACACTCGTCAAGGATTGAGGGTGGAAGGTGTTTGCACTTTGTGTTTGAGCAAGGTGTGCACATATAAAGACAAAAATATTTAATGTGAGTTATTATGTGTGAATTGTGAAGTGTATGGGTGTCTGAAATAACGAGGCTCGATCTAAAATGGGCCGTAAAAATTGTCGCCTTTACGTAGCAATCTAAACTTTTCGTCAAAGGTGTAATTCACAGGTTGTTTTATCTTGTAAAATTACAAAGCGTAGCTCCCTTTCTATAAAAAAATGAGGCAAGAAAACTTGCCAGGGTCAACGGTGGACGGCGACGCAGACGATTGGGTCGAGTGGCGGAGCGCGTTTGGCGCTCATATTGATAGATGGCATCGGAAGCAGCGTCGGAAGCTGTAGCTGTAGCTGACCAGCGATAGAAAGCAAATGACATGCAGACGCAATCCGTTGGCAGCGAGAGTGCCATCGTTATGCAACCGCGTTTTTTTTTTGTTTTTTTTTACAGCAGAGCTATTAAAGGGATACTTCAACGAAATTTGAAATATTCCCGTCGTGTTCAAAAATAAGTTGAATATGATCCACAATATCCGTAAATGACAATCACACGTTTGTATTTTGAGCCTGGTGGCTGTATTTTTCGTTCTAAACGGCCCACTCTGGCAAGCGCTCGGAGAAGGCCCAGCGGAGACCACGTGACATTCAACGCAATCGTGACGTAGGTCGTCTCAAGACGAGCAAAGCTACGGCGAGGCTGAAGTCGAGAGGATGGCCTAGTTGTTCCAGCCACCGAAGCGGCTGCTTTTGTACGAATTTTGAGTGACGGGTTAATCTTCTATAATCTTGTAGGGGGTCAATAGCGACTTCTGCGACACACAAAAGGCATTCTCGGGAAGAGGGGAGTTCCTCCTGCCCCTCTTCTCTCGTCGTGGCCGGAGACGAGACAACCTCCGTCACTAGCTGTCAAGGTTGCTAGACAAGCATTACAAGCGAGGCGTTAGCGACATCCACCAGGTGCTCTTTGCTAATCGTTTAATTTGTTTTAAAATTCTTTTTCGTGACTTTTTTAACAAGATATTGGTGTGTTCGATGTGATGCTGCTTTTTTGAACACATATAGACCAAAAAATGAGCGCCGAAATTTCATTGTAGTATCCCTTTAAGGGCTAGTTTCCCCAGTATCGTTACCGCCAGCAAACAAATGATGACACAAAACTCTGGACAGCTACCGCTGTCGCTCATAGATGACGGCAACCTTTTTTTTTTTTTTTTTTTTCACAGAAGGGAAGCTACGCTTTGTAATTTTACAAGATAAAGCCGACCTGTCAAATACACATTTGACGAAAAGTTTAGATAGCCACGTGCAGGCGCCGATTTTTACGGCTCATTTTAGATCGATCCTCGTTATTTCAGACATCTTTTCCATTTTACATATTTCTATTTTAGGGCATTCCTTATCAAATAGACACAGCTCTACTATGTTCACCCCTAAGCCGATAGTGCTGTAGCTGCGGGCTTGTTGGACTAGTATGTCTATCTTTCACCACGTGATCGCGCTACCGACCACTCTGTGCCCACGCGCGGAGAGAGGGGTCAGGTGTTGAAAGGAAGGTGGCTGATTGGTCCGCGGAGCAAAGTGCTGGTTACAGTTTGGTCCACGCAATAAAAAACGAACAGAGTGATTTATGAAGGAAGGGCATGAGCGAAACAAAACAGTACGCAGAAAGGGATACGAATCTCTACAATACATAAGTCGGTAGAAACTTTTGGAAGGATGGGTCCTGTGCGCGCCATCTTTACCACAGCTTGTATGGTATCCTGTGGAAATAATAAAGACTCTGTATCCGCACGCTTAAAATCCAGAAATAAATTCGAGCACACGAACGCGCTACGAGATTACGAACCAGCATTTCATGGCGCGGTAGTTTCGAGGATTCCGTTGGCCTGTATCGGGAGGGGTAGCGAAAACATTTTAGGAAAAAACGCTACTGGAATCTCGGTTGTAAACTCCTACGTACCAGACAAACTTCAACTTGTACACGACGTTATCATGCCAGCATAACTTGTACTCGGCATTCATGGCTGATTTTCGTCTCTCTGAAAACGGTCGGCTTCAGCTGCTCCGTTAGCAGACGACATCTGACGCGCTCGCCGCAGGCTTCGCATGTGCTGGATATATGTGTTAATCGCCATACTCATTTTTTTTTTTTGTGTGTGTGTGTGTGTGTGTGTGTGTTAGACAGTAGCTTGCGCCATCTATCCCTCATATTTTTTTTTTTGTGTGACTTGTGGGGGGGAAAAAAAAAACTGACGTCACTTTTGTTTTTTATTGTTTTGCTTGTTTTTGCTTTTTTTAGCGTTTAAGTGCCGCCCGAAAATGTTAAGCACAAGTCACGCTCATAAAGCGTGCTCTACAGGAGCGAGCAGCAGGTTTTCTTGTGTATGTTTATGCCACAGAGTGGCGCTGTGGAGGCGCGCGATCTCTGTTTTACGAAGTTGCACGTTCTCGAACATTGGGATTATTATTTAAAATAAATTTGATTTCTTCTCGAGTGACGGGAACAACGTTCTCGAGTAGCGGCAATAACATAGAAATCACTGCCCCAAAGCCAAAGGAACGTCGCAGGCGCGTTCTAAATGTTTTGGCTAGGTGGCGCAAACTACCGCCCACTATGAAGAGTACAGCTGTTAGCATCTGGCATCTATCCATCTAGCTAGTCGTTCTTGTTTTTCTTGTTATTGTTACTGTTGAAACGATGGCTGCGGGGCCTGTGAAGTCCGCGATAAAATTTACGAAAGTGTTTGACGAATCGAAGGGTCGTTTTCTGCTTGTTTTGCTCGTGAGGTCCGACGACACGAGGCTTACAAGCCTGAAGTTTTTTCTGACGGATGGAAATGACGTTTGGCAAACGGAAACGTCTTTTGAAGAACTGTGCGGTTCGCTCAGTGGTCGTCAAGACGACAACATGAAACACTTGACGTAAGTGTCCATCAAAACAAATAGACATGTAGAAATACCCTTGTGGGTCTGCCTACATGTGACCACACATTTTGTGAGCTAACGTTACGTCAACAGCCACTATTGTGCCCTGTACCAATCGGCGCTCACTCTGCATCCACTGCGATGTACGAAAAGAGCGCGTAGCCAATGACAGGCGGCCAATATCGTGTTGGTCGCTGTGGTTGGCTCTCCGAGTACTCCGTGGAGGGACGTTTGTTTACTAAAGTGTCGTCGTAAGTCGTAACGTATGAGGACAATGTGTATCAAGTAGCACAGGAAGGCAGTGTGTGTCGTGACAAAGCAGCCTCTTTATTTAATTAATTGCGGTAATTGCCACAATAAACACTGCCAATCATAAAGAACAAAAAAAAAAAAAAAAAGAGAGCGTAGCAGGTTTCAAGCACCTTATCATTACTTCACAGCCAGTGAGATCGCGATTTAGCCAGTAAGAATGGCAAAGTGACTTGTTAAAAAAAACAAAAAAAAAACAGGAAACGAGGTGTATACAGTAAGCCGAACCCCGGATTTCTTAAGCCGTGGCAGAGTCCTTCAATACTGCAGACTCTGGCTGCAGTAACGCCGCTAATACATCGTGCAAAAGATAGTCTGCTGCAGACACTGTGTGAGGCGTGTTTCTACCTTGGATGATGATCCTGTTGCACTGATCATACAAAAAGCTGCCTGTAGACGTGTTTGACTCATACGTGCCCGTGCATGAAGCAGACGTGCTTCGAACGTATATGAGGTGTGTCTGCATATAATTCCGTCACCACGTTCGCAGCAAGCTCCTTGTCATGCGTTGGACGTACGAGCGCTATGACCACACCCGCGCTTTTGATTCTCTTCGACAGCAAACGAATCGGCAGTTCTCGGCTGGAGTATTTTGAGGAGACGTGGACGCTCTTCTTCTCGGTCCCCGGAAAGACGAGCAGCCTGCGGTTTGCGGCCGACACCAGCAGACCGCTGTCCATCGCGCGCCTCGAGCTGATGATTTCGTTGGCGGACGCCAGCGAATGGACGGTCCAGCCAGAACCGGATGCACTGCCATCTCTGATTTTGCGCAAGAAGAAGGCGCACAACGTCTTGACAATAGACAAGGAGGGCATGAGCCTAGTTAACCCGAGGAGCAAGAAAATACCCAAGAGCAGGGGCATCGAATTTGACTGACACATAGGAATGGCAGACGGATTTCGATGGATTTACTATGGCAGACTCATTTCGAGACTCCTGGCAGCATTTTGAGTTTGAGACTCTCCTCGCGGTGGAAGCCATTCACTAGGGTCGCTTGCAATGTCACTGCAGTGTTCTCTCTTTTTCGGTAAGAGGGCATTTCACTGTTAACACTTCGTTATAGCTTTATTTATGAATGTTTATGCAATATTTATTCAATTTAATTGAAAGGTCTGGGCATTCTCGCTCTTATTTCATGGCGTGACAATTCTTTTCTTTTTTTTTAATATATTAATGAATTTTAAAAATGTGATTTGATAACCATGCAGTGCATTTGTTACAAAAAATGCTTGTCTCATTTTAATGTTTTTTTTTCTATAATTATTTAGATAATAAAATGTTTTTAGCTCAAGATTCGTTGGCATACTAAGGCAAGGTTGTATAATTGTCAGAGGAAAGAAGGCTTTTTGGCACAGCTTTCGTCTAGGCCTCCAATTATTTTAAATGAAAGTAAACTTGTTAGTGTTACACAATTTGTGTAACCTCATCACTAAACAGAATCCAACATGCTTTAGATAAGCTATGGTAGAGCATCCTAGGACATGATTGAATATGGTCCGGTGGTCTTCAAAATGAATAATTAGAATGTAGGTTTCTAAACAGCACTAGCAAAATATGGTTGAAATTTTTTTAATCTAATGATTCCTACCAATCAGATTGGCAAAAGGTTTGTTGCAGCAGTGTGTGATTCTAGGTCGTTGTGCTGCAACATTTCTTATCAAATCAAAATGCATTTAATGTAGTGACCTTGTAGTGACCTTTGAGCCAACAGGGCTTTCAATCCTCTAATATGACAGACAGTGGTGTCACAGGTCATGACCGATGGAACGGCACAATGACTCGGCATAATGGTAAGCTTGCTCCGATGGCTTTATTGAGATGCTTTGATCGACAAAGGCGCAGCATAATGGAAGACAGAAGATTTGCAACTGCAAAAGCTGATCCCTGTGAACTGCGCGAGGCTCTGCTATGCAAAATGGTGTAACTTTTCTGTGGAAAGTTCCTCACTTAAGATGATGATCCGAATCTGGCAGATGTAGAGAAGGCGTGACCTCTCGTAATCCATGTGCATAATGTAAAAGGTTAAAAAACAAACATGTTTGTTTGCATGTGGAACTTGTGCATATACACTGCATTTTAGACATTGGACTAATCACATCCAAAGTGGGTTTGTGCCGGTATGCAAGATTACAAGAAAGTGGAAAATAATGATTCTGGAATCACATATTACCAGGATCATATGAAAACAACTGATTCAGAGTGCTGTTATCTGTTTTGTCCCACCTAACACTATATGCTGCGTGTCACCCGCTATTAAACACGACCAGCACTAATAAGGCATCGTAATATCGAAATATAAATTTGGCGACCAATTCTACGATCACTGTGGCACTTCACATAGCTTCTATTTTGTTTCATCTGACATGATATTTACATTTTATGTTCAGTTTGTGGGCCCAGGTGAATATAGTGAAACAACAACAAAAAAGTCGAAACATCTTCAATATGATGATGTATACAATCATTTACACTACTACTCAAGTCATGAGTCTAAAACAATTGGTAAGAGCTAAAAAAAGTGTTAGTGTGTGATAAAACTAAAACAGTTGGTGTCTGCGTGAAGCTTTTGGCGGCAAATTTTGCGGCGATTTCGCTCAAAAAGCGGCAACTTGATGCAGAGGAGGTATCGCAACGTTTGCCTCCAGAAACTTGTCCCTCTGACTGCTGGTTGGCTTGGATGGCAGGCTGCAGCCCTCGAAGCTCACCTAGAATATAATTGGAGGCCTTAATTGTATTCCTGAATAATGTATTGTTAAAAGCCTAAAACTCCCCGCCCCCCCCCCCCCCCCCCCCCCCCAAACACACACAAAGAAAAAAAATTCTTCCGGTGTTGTAAAGGTAAAGACCGACGACTAGTTCGCGCTTTCCACTTTTCCCTCGCTTCCTCCTCTCCCCCCTTCTGCACTGTCCACCGTTGCATGTTTCCTCCTCCCCCATGGCGAGAAGGATATTCTGCCTTGCAGAAGACACGCTTTCTTTGTGCACAGCATTTGCTGGACTTGAAGCAGAGGTTTTCCACCGCTTTTAATCTGCCCTAAAACTTTTTTTTTTTTTCTTTGAAAAGGGGGTTGGGGGCTCGGGGAGTCGTTTCCGCTCTCTTCCTCGAATAAAGCCTTGGAGCGTGCTCATGATGTGGG